GGGCTACACATTAGTGGTGGTGGAGGGGAGTCCCCATTACCTGTAAATAACTACGAGTGGAGTGTCCAGAAAAGCGCTAAATAAGTGTAAGGAATTATTATTATTATTCCCTGCTTTAATAAGTGATAGTAAGAACTTAGTGAACATAAAAATCATCACTAAGCACTGACACCTGGACTATGACTGAGGACATCTGTCCATCTGCAATTGTGCCGGAGGATGTGGACTGGCCTTCCGTCAGAAACTGCAGCAGCCCTTCGAAAAGAGCAGGCTCAGTGCTCGCTAGCTTCTTGTGAGGAGTGGATAAGAAAACAGCAGTGACTTTAGGTTCTGGTAGGAGGCTGAGCTTAGTGTTGCCAGGGCAACCGTTCACTTCATGCACCAAGGATTCTTGGCACAGGGCTGCAATCAGCCGTCTAAAGCCCAGTGTTTGTGCATGTGTGACAGTGGGTTATTGGTATTCCATATTGTCTGTACAGGCAGATCAGGCATTCAAACGAGCTGTGCTGTGTAAAAGTCCTTCAGGAATCTGCTGTTTTTTAAGTGAGTCAATCATTATCATGCTCTTTTTTTATTTTTTCAAAAGCCAAAGCCTGTTCTATTTCTGAAAGGGTTGCTATTAGGCGCTGGGTGAGTTATTTTGATTTCATGTTAACTGCTGCTTTATAAAGACAGGAAATTCAAGAGAGGGGGTACTGGGGGTACAGTGTGTTTGATTTTATTTCTCAACATATCCTCCACCTTCTCACAGAGAAGGCTTTGTTCCCGTTTTGTTTTGTCATGGAAGATCCACAGTGAGTCTCATTTGAAGTCTAGCAAGATGTTGTTTCTGTATGGGGGTTCATATTTGAACAGGCTCTTTTACTCTTCAAGAGAGTATTCTGTATGTGTGTGTGAGTGGTTGTGGCTAACCTTTGAAGCACATACAGTATCTGTAGCTGATAAAGATCTTACAACATGCTGTATTAGAAATATGTTCTGCCCTGTCTATTTTTCTGTTTTTTTTTTTTTTTGTGGCTTTGTATATTTTGCTGGGAATCAGGAATCCTGCCTAATTGCACACAGACTGTCATTTTCCTTGTCTTTGCACAGACCATCCAGTATGATGATATGGTACTGTGGGGTTTGCATCTTTATGAGCAAGCTATGGAATTGAACTGCATCTCTTGGTTCTTGAATAGATTCACTCTTTTCTATAGTCAGTACACTTTAAGTTTGCATCACTTTCTAAGGGGATACTGTTTGAAATGTTAAGATATGAGTCTCAGAATATTTTGTCGAAAGAAGAAAGTAATCTCTTGAGATGTGTATTATTGATCACATATTTACTACATATGTGGCAAATATATATAATCTGGTTCTGAATTGAGCATCCTTTCATTGTAATTAAATTTTAAATATATGAAGAAAAAACTGTAGTTCAGTTTTGTGCTGATAGATGTTAAATGGTTTATTATCAATTTAATTTTTAATGGATTCATACTGTTACCTTTGAAATAGATTTGGAACATATTATAGTTCAGGTTTTTATTGATGGGCTTAAAATATTTTATCAATCTGATATTCGTGTCATTGTGCTTTAGGAAGCCTTTTTAAAATGGTGCATGTTCAGTAAATCCGCATGACCAAACTCTTATACGTTTGTGTGGGTATTTCGTCTAATGCGCAAAGAGTAAGTGTTGATCTCTTGCTTTGAGGCTTGTGAATAAAGGGAGCGAGTGTTTCCGATGAGTAAGTGTGTCTGTGGGGGCGTGAGAGTGGGAGGCCAGATCTGTGGGTGTACTTGTTTGTGAGCCTTGTGTAGTGGGTATACAGTACGCAGTAGGAGGTAATTGGATCCACCAGTGTGGTAACAGGAAGGTCTTGCTGGAGGAAAAAATAATCAGTGCACATTTTACCCATCCCATTTATGTTTTGAAGTTTCTTTCTGCATAACAGCAAGAATATGTTTTTTTTTTCAATGAACAACCGTCTTTGTTGTTTTGCATTGACAAAAGACCTACACTTCTGATGAATGAACATCTCTTTCTGCTTGTCAGTGAATAACATAATATTGTATTAATCACCAATGCAAAAAAAATGTTTTTGCAGACAACAGTCCATAATCTTCTGCGATTTTCCTTTTTGCAATGATTACATTAGATACATAGAATAGCATGGAAACAGCATAAGAATAGGATGTATCCACATATATTTTCTAAATTAGTTTTTAGGTGGTCATAAGATTATGGTCATAAGGGTATGAAAAACAGATTGGAGTAGGTGAGACATATTTCAGTGGTCCTCTTATCCTGTGTGTTTCAGGTGGTGCTATATAGACCAACCTGATATTACTTGTTAACAGAGCTGAGGTATGAAGGGACTGCTGTCTATAATTGGTTGGTCTTTGAACTTTTCATTGCTGAGTTATTGTTGTCATGGTGACAGCTTTGGATGTGAAGTTGCAAATGTTCCTTGAATCAACTTAGGTTTTGGATTTTTATCATTTTTGATAGTTTTGTATTCTGAGTCAGAGGAATAGATCAAGTCAAGGTATATGGCCATCATGATAGGTTGGTTAACAGAGGAGGTTTAATTGGAAAAACATTGTTTTTTGCTTGTTCTTTTTTCACAATTATATACAGTGTGTACAGTTTGTATGATGTTGAGAATAATGCCTTTGAGTTGAGTTTCACCATTTTTCTCACCTTGACAGTGAGTTTCAGTAGCTACGGTGTCTTGATAACACACAATTTCTATGTAAGACTTTCTTGCTTCTGTGTTTTCATTTCTTTGCAGTTTCCCAGTGACATATGGCCAGTGAAACTAGGTCCCAGTTGAGACCTAATGTAGGAGGAAGATGTTAGGTGACTTTTGAACAGTTTGGTAAAAATGTGTTGTTTGAGCTGGTTTGTATACCTGCATGGTTGGTGCATTGTGAAAAACAATTCAAGACTTAGTCATCAATGCTGAGTAAATTGCTTTAATTTCTAGTCCATTATAAAACCCACCATCCTACTCTGCCCACTCCTGCTCCATACATAAACAAATTGCAGTGGGTAGTTAAAGAAAGTGTAAACCCCTGGAAGCTTCAGTGCTGTGCACTAAGGCCAGTGTGGGCTGACTTAATTGCAACACAAGGTTCACCAGGGGCCATTCACAGAGCACACATCCCAAGACACACTGTGCAGTCTTAGTCAGTGAAACATATTCAGATCAACTGAATTTATTCCTACGTCTACTTGTACCATGCCATTATTAAAATTCTGACTTAGTTCTAATGCAAATCGTGTGATCGTGCATTATAAAGTTAAAAGTAAAAGTTACAGAAAGGATCAAGATGTGTCTAGCAGTCTCTAGACTTTATACCATTCTGCATCAGGACTTACAGTACAGCTTCTGGCTTCATTACAAGTGTCCTTCAGTTACTTATGCATGGGAAATTGAGGCAAAAGCCTTAATCTAGTCGTTGAAAATATCTTTTTGTAATCTTTGAGTGCAGGGCTGCTGTTTCCAAAGCTGATTTGGCCAGGCATAAGAACATAAGCAAAATTACAAATGAGAGGTCCATCTTGTTCGTTTCATTTCTATTACCGTAGATAACGGAGTTAATCTAGTTATACTGTACATAGTAGGAAAATCAGTTTTCCTTTTAACTGTCCTTTTAACGTAAAATGATGTTAAAAGTGCTGATGGCTGGTGCTGGGTTGAAGTTGTGATTTATCTACAGATACTGTGACATCCAGGATTGTTGGGAGTATCCTATACAAAGGGAGCAGAATCTTATGAACTGTGCTTTTGTGTGGGGGTTTAAAGGATGCGAGGATCTATTTGGAATGAGGTTCCTGGAGGTGGGATAATTTGATTGAGGTTTATCCCACAATTAAACTGCAGGACCGTTTGAGCATGAACCCTTTCCTTTTCGGTAGATATTTCGGTAGAAATGCTGCTAAAGTGCCAAATGTCTGTCAAGGTTTAGCTCATGTTAATGAAAATGAGAAATGTGGCTTCTATGTACCTAAATTACCTAAATATAAACCTATAAACCTAAATCTTTCTGTTAATATTATTTCTTTTAAATGAGAACTGTTCACCCAAGCCATTCACTCAAGATACTAGCAGTTTAAAATACAGAACCAGCCCAGATTCCTTTCCAGCCTGAGCCTAATTCCTATAAGACATTACCGAGTAAGAATGACATATATCAAAGGCACTTATTCCTTTATACTTTCTATTCTGGGACAGCAGTAAAAGCTTCCACTCCCCAGCTGATTGCCAAAGCCAGTATTAATCATGATGAAGTGGGCTGACACTGTCAAATGTCACTGACAATGTTCTTCAAGGTGGAAGATGGAAATGTCAGCTCTGTATGTGCCAGACAGCATCGGTCTCTCCACTGTCTGGTAATCTCCAGGCTCCGCCTTAACAGCCAACCTTTCTTGGGTGAAACGACACAAATAAAAGTTTCAGAATGGAACTGAAAGAGCTGAAATTCAAAGGGGAGTCTTGATGTCAATTATACAGGCTGTTTGTCTGGGGTGGTAATACCCAATCAGCCTGAACATGTATTCTTCTATTATTCTATTTGAAAATATATACAAATATCCTTCTATTTTTGTACGCCATTCTAATTTAACTAGCTCTCTGCCCCCTTACTGTTGTGCAGTACAAGGGAAATTTACCCTTAAAATCATCGTGCTGAGTTTTGGATAGGGAGAAAACCTGTTGTTTTTTCAGCTCTTTTAATTTGCATGTAAACAAACATCTTAAAGGAACAAGGAAACAGCCCCAATTTTCAGCAATGCAAGTTAAGGTAGGTGTAATGCTAGCTTAAACTGGGAGTTTTTTACCTGTCTGCCACAAGGTAATGAAGAGGAGTGCCGAAGCTCTCCATCTGTGGTAGGTTGTGATTTTTTTACACATGAGGTGTCATGGAGCAGTATGGATTCACAAACATCACACCCCCACACAAAAAATGTGATAGTCATACACTGAGTGATGATGTGGTTTGTGTCGCCCAGAACAAGTGTCGGCTCGGATCGTGCAGGAGGTGACAGCGGAGGCAGTAGCGGTGCTGAAGGGGGAGCAGGATCCCCACAAGGACACGGCCAAGAGGCTGCCCTCAGGTAGGACCCAGGGACCAGGGGAGGGGGTGGAGGGGGAGGAGCTCGGGGTTGCCAAGGGTTGCCTAGGAACACAGTCCAAGTCAAACAGGCCACAAGCACAGGGAACAGGCCTCTTGTTTTCTTTTGCTTTCTTGGACAGGGGGCAATTTACATTCATTAATGGGGTTCATCCCTGTAACAGGACCTGTGCAGGTAAGGCATATTGTTCTGTGAATAGACTTTTAGTGTGTTTGTGTGTTTGTGTGTTTGTGCGGCAGCATAAATCCCCAGATCTTATAAAAGCTGATGAAATTCCACAATGTTTTAACAAAACATTTCTATGGAATGCACCAAAGTAATACATAAGGAATATACCAAAATTGCAGATATCTCTCTAAAGAAGTCAGAGATTTGGCCTTTTTTATTGCTTCTTCATGTTCGCAGATAGCCATAAGGTGTTCTCTTCTTAAAACATTTACCACTAAGTTAAATGTACACCAGCAGGTGGTTTTTTTGTTATTTTAGTTTTAGCTTTGTTACAGTGTTTGCATCATTCTGAAAAACATTAAATTAGGGATGGCAAGTTCCATTTATACTGAATAATTAATTCAACATTTTTATAAGCTGCAATAGAGAGAATGTTAACTTAGCATCAATAATCTTCTCATCACTAATTCCCAGTTAAGATTAAATCTGTTGAATAACAAAACCCAAGATTGTTCTTATACAGTATGTGAATGATTACATGTTTATTGCTTGTTTGCTATGCATTATTAAAGTGTGTTTTACAATCTCTACACTGAAGTGTAACCAGTGCATTCTAAAACATGGCCTACTGCTACCAGGGCATTTCGTACTGTAATTCAGTTTGAAGCCTTCATCAGATGTAGTAGGCTCTCTGAGTGAAGGTCACCAACCTCTCCTGGGGCCTAAACCCAAAGAGAAGCATCTCTCTTTCTCTGTTATTCTATAAAAATTAAAACCTCGCTGTGAAAGAATTTCAGGAAAAGATGTCGAAAGCCATTTCCTGATCTGCTGTCGGTCCCCTCCTTCGCTCTGTGAGTGTCAGGCACAGTGGCCGCAGCGGTCAGGCAGTCCTGCACCCTGTGGCTGTGACAGCAGAGCTGAAGGCATGGGCTCTCACTTCACGCAAGCAGCCTTAACAAGAGCTGACGTGCACCGCAGTGGCAGCTCTCCAGACCTCTGCAGTCATTCTCAGTCTTGTGAATAGACTGAAAGTAAACGGGATAAAAACAGTCCAAGCTTCCTCTTAGTTTGCATTTTTGTTAAGGTTCCACTTGTAATGCAGGTCCAATGTGGGCTTGAGCAGAAAGCAGCAGAGAGATGCAGACTGTGGAGTGTTTGCACAGAGTGTTCTCAGAGATGCAGACGTTACCCATCTGCAGTCTTTCAGATACTGCGGGCGGAGGAAGTTCACAACGGAGGGTTACCAACACTAGCAATTGAAAGATCATGGCTTGGAAATGAAAATTTACTTTTATGTTTGGTGTAGGTGTTTGAGCACATGTTTGTCGCAGTATGTGTAGGTTCACCCTTCTATACTGTGAACCAAAATATATCAATACCAAGACACTTAATAAGTCAGCTCCATCTTATCAGTGCAGATCTCGGCAAGTGTTCAGCATTTCATTTTTTTATGTTGGCAAGAAAAAAGGTGTTAATCTAAGGAAATTATTTTACTAAATCTACTAAATAGGAAGGGTAATCAGATTATATCTTGAATTTATTAAATGGGTAATGTGCTGCTGTGAGGCATTACTAACAATCAGAAGGGACTAACCCTGGACCTGTACATAAATTTAAAGGACATTTTGTTTTGTTTTCAAATTGAATAATGCTCTTCTTGACCATGAGTTATTTCCATTTCTAGCTACAATTTAATACTTTGCTGGAAGTGTTTTGCTCCAATTTATGTGCTTTTGGAAAGCTGCCATATTTATTCCAAACTGATTCTTGAGAAAATAATAATGGAAATGCACATTGGGATGCATAGGCTATTAACTGCTTAGAAATTCCCTTCAGTGTTCTGGGATTTCCCACTTGCTTGCACTGAAGTCAATGGCCGATGCTCTGTTTCCGTCAGTGCTCACTCTGTGAAGCATGTGGGAGACACTGGGAAGCTTGGTGTCACAAATCGCACGCCAGCACGCAGGCATCACATGGGTACTCCGCACCGCACATACTCGTGCACTGATTGATACCACGCTCCTTCCTATTTAAACCCTCTCTCCTCAATCCGTCCTCGCTCACCATTGAGACTTTTTCCCAGCTAGAGCTACTCAACCCTTCGATCCTGATTTCTAGTTCTCAATCTCTCACACTATTGTAATCCCTCCCCCTTAAGGGTGTTCCGGCTCTTTCACATTTTAGGTGATTTTGTGTACCTGCCTCCTATCCAGCCCCTCATTAAAAGCCAGACACTCACTCTGTTCCGGGCTCTGCACAGGAAGACGGATGTCCGGAGGCCTGCCTACCACCTAGTCGCCCCATGCCCGCGGCTTGAGAGCATAGGCCTCCTATCGGCGCCCTGACCCAGCTGAGTCCGGGGCACAGAGCGCCTGGCCTCGTCACCCCCATTTTTATTTCCTCTCCCTGCACCGGATCCCGTTCCGTCTTTTAACTTTGTCTAGGTGTCGTCTCATCTGGATTTCACGTTTTTTTGACTATTGGGCTTCGCCCCGGTTTTCCCCCTGGACTCCCTTGGACTTGATCACCTGGACCACGCCCCCCCGAGCTCCAGTGCACTGTCGTCACGCCCCCCTGTTCGTCCACCTGCCCAGTTCCTCGCTGTCTCCTCCCCGTGTTTGTTGCACTCCTTTTCGGATTCTATCATCTGCATAGAGTCCTGAAAAACGCTTCGTAACACTCTCGACCCTTTGATAACGACCTTTGCTTTACGTCCAAGACTCCTTAAACGATTTGGATACCTTCGCTTTGTTTTGGTTTTTAGTTCAACCACCTCTCTGGCCATGCACAGGGTCCGGCTATTAACCTAAGTTTGGGCATTACTGACACTTGGAGAGTATCAAATAGCCAGTCACGCTGAACGGTGGGCACTGCATACAGAGGTTGTTATTTTCTATATAGTCTGTTATTCATGGATCACTGCAGATAAAGGTGAATTCATAAACAATTAACAATTCCAAACTGACTGAAATTGCTAAGGAGATTACATCTTAAAAATAATTGGTCATTCCAGTATGAAAATAAAAGGTGAACTTGCTGATTGCTTTGCCAGGATTAAAAATACCAAACAAACAAGGCTGGAAGTACCCTATAATTTACAGGAATCAATTCAGCACTGTTCTCAATACAGAACAAGACGTTCTTTCGTGACAAACTGTCAGGAGCACTCAGGGGTCCAGAGCACCATTGTAATTCAGGTGGTTTTGAATTGAGAATGAAAGTGTAAAATTTCTTCAAATTCTGTAACATAGTTATGTATGTTTTGAGCTGGAAGCATTTTTTTCTGCAAACAGTTTTGATAATTATTTTAAGGGACATCTCTTTCTGCTGTTCCTTGTGGTTGAGAAAAATCTCTTGCTCAGATCAAGTAGGGAATTGTAGATGCGTTAGTTAATGACCGAAGAAATTTATTCACAAACTGCAGACTGTGTGGCACATGTCACAGCTGGTTGATAAAAGGGTTTTCTGCAATTTTTTGCCTCTAGGGTAAGACAGTTTTTCTGCATGTAGGATGAACCTTCTTGATGTCCATTTCACAGTTTTTAATATTTGTTTTGAGAGTTTTCAGATTGTCCTTGAAGCATTTCCTCATGCCTTGTGAGTCCTTTCTTTGGTAGGGTTGGGAGTACCATAGTGGTTTTATTATACATACTGTACATTAGGCAGACATCCACACACAGTGCTTATCCAATGCAGCTAATGTTGTACTGTATATATAATTTGTATCGGTGGTACTGTAGGTACTGGTGTCAGTGGGCACACTGGTATATGAAGCAATGATTCTTCCGTTTTATACCATGGGTCTTCTGGAGGTAATGCTGTTGAGTGCATTCAGTGGTTTGTGCCACCCAGGCTTCGCAGCCTGGGTTTGAGGTTTCACAGAAGTGTTGAACTTACTTCTGCCTTATATTCTACCTTGGCAGAAAATTATTTGTTTTAGTTATTAGCTAAAGCTCAGTGTTGGCCTAACATGCAGTAGATGTAATTTGTTTTAAATTTCCTTCTGCCTTCTGTCTTTTTCTTCTTGCAGTTGAAGACTCTGCCAATTTGCCACCCTCCCCTCCCCCCTCTCCGGCCTCAGAGCAGATCGGACCCCTGGAGGAAGGTAGGAGCTCAGGGACTGCTGCTCACTTCATCCTTCCTGGAAAAGGCCAGAAAGAAGCAGAAAGTAAAAACAAGTGTCGAAAAGAAAGGCAGGCTGGTTATTGCTATGTGGCTGCTACAAATTAGGTTAGGGTTGCTAATTTCTTGGTGGAGAGGGGGTCTGACAAGCCTACTCTAGTGCACAGCCCAGCTAAGGGCTGTCATTGGATGGGTGTTGCCCCCACTGTCTGTTTTTCTCTCAGGTGTTGTAACCATTCTCTCACATAAGGTGATAAGGAATTCTTGAATGGAAAGGCTTGGAGATGAGCCAGGCACAGGTGGTTCCTGGGCTCCACACGTGGATAAGTGTGGAAAAGTCTAGGGGCATCAACCATAACTTAGGGCCTGGAGTTACTGAGTTTGCATAGGACGGGATTCATGTTCCTTCTTCTCCTCTTCGCGGGAAGGGGTCTTCCTAATAGTTAATGAGCTAAACTGCTCTCATCTCCATCTACCTGGTAACTGGTGCCATGGTCCTCCACCTGCCCAGGGTGTCCCCCAGTTACAGCTCTCGGAATGTTGGCTGGATATGGCGTCTGCATGATGTCATGAAATGAGCCCTCAACCCCACCCCTCTCCCCTGCTGCCCCTCCCCCTTAGCCTGTCAACCACAATAACCCCTGTATGTCCCTACCAAGATGTTTTTTTTATCTTGTCTTTATTTTGCATGTTTTTGTTATTGTGGATATTGTTGTTGTTGATGTTGTCCTTTGCTTGTTTGTGTCCATTGTTTTTCCTCATGATGTGTTGATTGTGTCTCTCAGTGTCTGATTTCAGTGATCACATGTGCTCCAGAACAAGCCAGTGGATGGAGCCTGTCTTTAGAAAAAAACTGTGTTTTGTTTTGACCCTTGTTTTTCATGGGTCTGGTTGGATGGGGGTGAGGGGACATCTTTTGATACAATAAAGACATCTTCCACACACAAGCTAAATCAGAAGACGCTGAGCTTACAGGACAACGTGCAAGCTTTTTTTTTGCTGCAGTACTGGATTTCCAGACCCTGAACAGCAAATTCAAAAATTATGAATAAGTGGAAAAAATGTTTTTATTTTTTCTGCCATTTTGTTTACAGTTTGTACCTTTAGATTTTAACAGTGATTTTCTGAAAAAATTGTGAAAATCTTCCTGTGAAGCAAAAAGCTTTTTAAAAACACACTCTCAACGAATTATGACAAGCCATTTGTTATTCTAGGATGATATCAGACTGTAGTGCATTCCAAGAATATTTATATGAAAGTGTCCATTGGTTTTCATTTTTCATTTGTTTGTTTTATACTGGTACTGTAAATTAAAAAAAAGGTTGCAAATGTGATATAAATAGAAAATTCTCCATTTGATTTTGATATGTAAATTAAAAAATACAGTAATGCTTGTGCATATACATACAGTATGTGTATTTCGCTCTCATTGTGTTCCTTTATCTTCTCACCATGTGAGGAGCTTTTCCTGAGCAGATGAGAGCCCTTCCCCTCTGCCCCATCAGATTGCACTGCTAGTTTTCTTCCACCACAGGCTTCAGTGTTCTGGGTCCATATGTGTGTCTGTGCCCACGTGCGAGTGTCTGTGTCTCTGTGTGTCCATGTGTCTTGCCTGTCTCTCTCTGTTCGGTTTTCCCTGCAGTTCTCTTCCTGTGTCTGTTTGTAGATGTAGGGGATGAGGAGAAGGCAGGCCCTCTCCGACGGTTCCAAAATTCTCGGGAGAGGTGCAAGTTCCTAGCCCCCTCCATCTCGGTGTCTGTGCCCGACGATGATCCCTACCACTCTGATGACGAGTACTATGAGCACCCCTTATTCAGCTCCGAGTGGACTCACTCTGGCTCTCGCCCCTCAGGGCAAGCTGCCATGTTTAGACAGATTGAAGGTGAACCGCGCATGGTTCCTCATTTTTGTTTTTTACTCCTGCTCCTCCCCCCCTCCCCAGCCCTTTCCTCTCCTGTCCTCTTCTTCCTTCTCCTCTTCTGTATCTCTGTCTGTGTCTTGCACGGTCTATCCAATAGCCCTTCCTGTGGTTTTTTTTCATATCTTGGTCAAGTCTTTGTTATACTCCAGCACTGGGATCACACTCTAATCAGAACTCAAGAACAGAATCAAATGCCTCTTATTCTCAGAAACGGAACGTTGCTGAGCTGACATGCTTGTAAATGATTGCTGTCGGCCGCTTGCACACAAGCACATTGGGTGAACTTTGTTTTCCATTCTACAATTAGATGTGTCTTGTCATGTGCCAATTAAAATGCATGAGATGATTGGGTAATAGTGTGTTTGGAATGGCCACTACTAGAATTCTAATATTTCTGAATATCAGAGAATATCAGAAAACTGTCAGTAGTACAATAAGCAAGCATGCCTAAAATGTAAGTGCTGTTCCTTACGTTTTCAGGTTACATTATTTTAATATGCACAATTGAAAGGTGCTTGGCCGTTGTCAGAGTGAACAAGTCTTATGTGTTGCACAAGTAATCCTTATTTGCATCGTACTCTTACACCAGACACCTTCAGATGCGCATTCAGGTCCATAAAATACATTCACACATGCAAAAGTGTATGCTTGTAGACTTACATGCATGCATGCTGATATGTGCACACATGCATAATGCAGATTGATGCATGGGTGTCCATGCATGCTTGTGCACATCTGAACACGTATGCGTACGGGTCTAAAGCATGCGCGTGTATGGAGATTAACTAAATGAGACATACAGTATATTTCTGATGCATGTTCACAATTTTATAGCAAAATGCGTAACCAAACAAAGAGCAAATGACTTGTCACATATGGAAAAAAGAGTGCATTCCTGCCAAGATAAATGCACTTTCTCTTCAGCCATTCTCTGTCAGCGCTGTCCGACTTCGTGGGATTGTCCTTTCATCACTCCTCACTGTCTGTGAGCCACCCATGTGTGAAACCTGCTGATTTACACCTGCTGTAGATCACAGGAAGGCTTTCAGCTCTTAACCATTTTTAACTGTAGCAAATACTGCAGAACAGACTCATACAGGATAGAATGTGTTTTGCTTGGTAAAAAAGAAGTGGGTTTTCTTTTTAAAATGTATAATCCTTGACCTAATCCTTTGCAAAAAAGAAATCGCCTTTTTTTAAAAAAAAGAATGTTGGATCTTTGATCTGGTAATACCACTGAAAAAGACAGCTATTCTCCAGTCAATAAAGTCCAAATATCACGTTGAGAACGTTATTTTCTGTCGCTGCATCCCACATTGGTACTCCGCAAAATTATTTTGCTTTCTATAACACCGCTTTCAGTAATATATTGTCAATTACAGATGAGTTAATTTCAACGGCGCACTATAAGTCTTGCTGCAAAGTAAACTGTAGAAGTTAGTACTTAAACTGAACAATATTAAATGATCAAATTTGATTTTCTGTTATAATTATGCTCTTTGATACTTTGACATGTAATGCAGCAATTCTGGTGCTTATATATTATATCTACATAAATTAACTGTCATATCATTGAAAACACTCAGTTTATAACACTGTACTCTATCTGTAATGTTATGACTTATATTATCAATACATATTTTGTGATTTTAAGTGAGGGTCATTGCAGATGTTTGTACATCACAAACAAATGCAGACTATTCCCTTTCACATTTGATGTTACAAATTAGAAAAAAAAAACATACAGTCTGGTTGTAGGATGTAGCGACATACAGTAGTATTGTTAGTTGACTTGGTGAGAATGGATTAAGGCTTAGCATTGCTCTGTGGACCTTGATTCCAGAATAGCTATGAGAAAAAAAAATGTGATCTCCAAAATGTACCAGTACTATTTAAAGTACAGTAGATTATCTAAATATACACTGTAGATGACTAAATAAATGTAAGATAATGGTAAAAAAATACATTATCATTAAAATTGCACATAGGTATAATGACTAAACTACAGTATAAATGGCTGCATTTTGGTAATAGGTTTACATTGGCTTTGAAATACTCTTTATCTGTCCATCCAGCCATTCATCTTTATCTCTGTGCTGCTTATCAAGCTATTTCTTCTTCTATCATTCTGCAGTATCTATCTGCAGTAGAATACCAATTTACAGTATCTTTGTTTCTATAAGAATACATCTGTCAACAGTATGGATTTGCTTTATCTGTTAATTTGTCTTTCTGACTTTACTAAATCTTTTTATATCTTTCCTCCTTGCTACATTGTAACAAAATATGTTTGTACTCACACACATTGGAATACTACAGGCTTGCTGTGAAGCTACTTTGTAATTGTACACCCTGCTGTTATGAAAACAGATGTTGGAAGAAATAAATTGGGATATAACGAGCTGCTTGGTGGAAGCAAGATTTTCCTCCATCCTTACAGTGGCATATCTGAAACCTAGAAACATATTATGGTGTTTCAAGGATTTTAGTGTATGAAGAAACTGTTTCCATAGCAGCACTGTGTATCTGGAAGGTAGTTTAATAGCAAACCTTATGTGTGTATGTAGAGATTTTTAGAAATAGTGATTAGGGGGTTAATGGATCAGTGGTTTTTCAAGATGGACATTAACCCTCCGTTAATGTTTCCCTTTAGTGGACAGATATTTTTCCTTTTCAAATTTTAAATCTATTTACAGTTTTAAAGACCTACAGTAATCTACTTTATTTCATGTAATTACAGTATCTGTGTTGTTTCTGCTTAGGAGTACCAAAAACACTTTAGCAATCCTTTGTTTCAATTTATTTTAAATGTATTGTTTAAATGGTAGAGATTAATTAATTACCTAAAGAAATTCTGGTCAAGGAAACATTCACATCTTTAGACATTGTATAATATATATATGAATAGATCATTAAAATTAATTGGTTTAGGAACTTCTACAAATAGAGCTGAAAGTGTCTCACTATTATTTACCTGTGTAACCCAAGTCTGTGTTGTCCATAGTCTTGATGTATCCACTTCTTCCCCTTTTCAAAGTAGAAGAGACCATAGAGGCTCTTTCAGCAGCCGAAGAGGAAGAGTGGACTACAGCAGCAACAGCAGCTCTTGTGGAGCAAGAGCAGCAGAGGAGTGGGGAGGAGCCTGAGCAGGGGCCTGCTGCTTCTGAGCACTTAGAGCAGGCAGAAATAATAAGCGAGGCCCAGGCTCAGTTCTGTCCGCAGGCCGAGGCAGCTAGTGTACCCACAGAGGCACCCAACGGGAGGGGCGATGAGGCAGGGTTGGAAAAGTGCCCTCAGGAAGGTGTGTCCTCCTTCCAGTTTGCATGTGTTTTATTCATTTGAATGATAGTTTAGAGAAAGTAAGGGAGTTACTTGTAGGAAGAATGAAAATAACTCTGTTAGCGCTCCTAAGCCATGCAAGTTTGAAGGTAATTTTGCTTCTCTTTCAATTTAACAGTGTGATGCGTGAAGCTGCAAAGAGCTTTGATTTTGCTTTTTTCTGTTTCCTATTTTAGTTTTGTTGGTAATTGCTGGTTTTGTTGGGCAATAGTGTTTCATGTGCTGATGCTGCTGCCAAGCCTTGATCTGCTTAATGCATTGATGCTACATGTTAAGGCTGCTTTTAGACCAACCCGTTTCATTAGTTTTAACTCATTGCTTGGTGTGTCTTTGCCAGCTACATTGTTGATAAATTTATTGATTTATCCAATCCCTGAATCACCTGCTTTCTAAGCAATGGAAAAAAATTGCAAATCTTCTGATTTGATGGTGTTTTGGTTCAGCTTTTGTCAAAATGTGTTTATTACCAGTGATATAATTTTTTTCTTTGTTTCTTAGTGTTGATATTCCATATATTGTCATTTCCTGTATCAGTAATAACCACTTTTCATCAACATTCAATTTTCTTTCCATTCAAACTGCCGTTGCTGTTATTCACTAAAAACTGAGTATGATTTTTCATCTTAATTTTTGGTTTTTATTGGGTTTGGTAACTGCAACAATTGATTGTTGCTAATTTAATTTAAACAGATTCTCATTCCTCTTTGATTCCCTTGAAAATCAGTTATTTTCGGTAATTGTCAACCTTTTCCAATGGTACCCTTTTATTTTTTTTCGGTAATGCTTTTCTGCAAAATATAAATGCAAGTAGCTTTAATATTTTTCACATATTTAAAGCATATTTAGAGCACAGTGTGCAGGATATGTTAGAAATTTTAGTTTTTTCAGTGATTAACAGCATGTTAATTCACAGAACAAACAAATAACAAAGAACTTAGTAACTACACTTAATGTTATAAGGAAAATTAATATTCAGCATACAGTAAGGACGTAGTTGTTAAACAGGAAGCGTACAAAAAACAGGTTCTCAGATTTACAATAACTGCTCCCCTTCCAGTCTTCCCATCCATAACTCTGAACCCATTCCTCAGTGCAGCACCTAACCTGCATTACTGTATCAATCAATAATTAAATTAATACAATTAATAAGTACATTTATTAATTTTAATTACTGATTATTTTTTGTTACATGCATTACATGAATTATTAATACATTAAATGCATACACCTAATCGCCTGCACACACCCGGTCCAGTCTATTAAACTTTAATAGACTCCAGTCTATTAAACCCTTAAACCATGACCTCAATGGTCGATTTAAACCTTTTCCCAGACACTAAAATTAGTAAACCACCAAAACAAAAGCTGACCCATTGTACTCTGTTATCTATATAATTTAATTTACTGTATTTTATTCTGTGGCCTAATATCTACAATAATTCAGCATGCATAGAGCTGTCCCATTTCCTTAGAACTTTGAAACACAAGTACATTATTTTAAAATTTGTGTAATATATGTACTGTATCTATTCTAGTTAGCTAGTTTATATTTATTCTAAGGACTGAACATAATATTCTTGATGTTATTCACAAGTATTTTCTGTTCTTTTGAGCCCTTTCTTAAATTAGAAACAGCAGGAAATTAAATTATCCCTTAAATCAAGAGAGATTTATTTTAACAAATTTACAACTATGATATTTTAAATAATATATATATATCATTTTCTCAGTGTATAAGCTCTAATTAGCAAATGTAGGATTGTGTGGGATATCAAACGGTCCGTTGATATTGACCTGGTGTCTTAAACAACATGTCTTGCATCAATATAGTATCAATATAGTATTTCAAAAGTAGTATTTAATCATTTTCACCTACAGTACATATTACATGTTGTTCTTTTGTTCAGGATTTAATAAGTCTCATGGGCCTTAAGTGCATCCTCCTCCTCCTTTGAAATCTTTTTTACATTCTTAATGGCAAGAAAAGGATTAATCTCGACAGGTTTCAATTTCTCTCATGGATCTATGGGTAATCATTGCATTTTTCTTTTCTTTTATTACCCATCCACATTGTGGCTCTGCATGTATGCATAGTGACATCAGTGGCATTTTCGTTTTTCATTTTCGTGTTTCTTCATGCTGCCATTGTTGTTTCTCCAAAATAATGCAGTGCATTTTGCTGCATACAACAACATGCATTGGTGGAGAGCTTTGCATGTTTGCAATGTGTTGCTTGTTAAAAAAAAAGAAAAAAAAAGCGGAACAACCAGACTACTTTAGATTTGCTTGCAGCCCTGAAGATGGACACAGGAAGGCCAGCAGGGCCCAGCAGTGAGCTGACCTCTCCCTTCTGCTCAGATCACAAAGATGCTGAAAAGCAACAGGGGGAGCCATCCAAACTACAAGCAACAACCGAACTGCAAGCTCTCGTTCCATCAGGAAAAGATGAACAAACCCCTCAGCCCAGAATCTTGGAAACTGTCCCCCAAAAACCTATTGAACCTGCTACTGTTCACGAGGCACCTAAGATCGAGCAAGGTCCCGTTCCAGCTGCCAGTTCTCCTTCAAATGGCCAGATCCACCCCAAAGAAACGTCAGAGCCCTCAGCAAAACAGTCAGATGATGCAAAAGGAAAAGAGTCTGGTATAACCTCTGAGCAGCAATATCAACCAGAGGAAACCAAGAAACAGGATACCTTACTAACAGATGCACAAAAAGAAGAAGAGGGGATTTCTTCCAAGGATCCCAAAAGTGTTTCTGAAACAAAGACCGGTACTGCTGAAAAACAGCCATCATCTGAAGTGCAGGAGCCTGGCAGTCCAGTGGCTCTAGTCACAAAAGGGCTGCCGGTTGACTTCAAGACTGAGCTGCTGCCTGATGACACAATAGGTCAGGACAAAACAGAAGGTAAACCTGGCACCACGCCGAAACCTGAGGACATTGGTGCTAAAAAGGAGGAGAAACAAGCTAAGGGTGATGAATTGGAGAAAAGAGAAGAGAACCCGGAAAAGGTAGTGATTAAACCAGAAACACATGACTATGAGACTTCTTTGGCAGGAACACAACTACTAGAAAGTGACATTTTCTTACCAGGACGTTTAGATGCAGTGAAAGAATTAGGGACTCCTAGCCATGAAGAGCACAAAGAGGGAACTGCTAGTGCCAAGTCTGCAGAACAGTCAGTAGATAAAGATCTGAAAGAGGATTTGTCAACTCCTGTGGTCGTGTCAGACTTCAAGACAAAGGAGGAGACTCCCACTGAAGTCCCAGAGCAGCCAAGCACAGAAAAAAAGGTGGCAGGTAAAGAGGTAATGCAAGACCAAGTGCAACCAGATGAACCACAAACAGAGGAACCCTCAAGTGTCTTGGACCTGCCCATGGAAAGCCTTGAGAAAGACAAGTCGGGGATGTCAGCTTATTTTGAGACATCAGCCTTGAAGGAAGAGGAAGCCAAGGGGGATGCTGAGCAAAGCGAGGATTACTACGAGCTCAGTGACGCAAGAGAGAAGACTTCTACATCTCCAGTTGTTGTAGCAGATGTGTGTGGGAAAACTGAGAAGCTCCAGGCAGCAGTGGATACTGCCTTACCCCACGAAATTAGCTACAGCACATTGGCTCAGGCACAACTATCGGAAGACAAAACAGATGCCAGGAAGAGTCCAGTAGAGGAATTGAAAGCCCTCCCAACGTTGGAAAAGAAGAAGGATGAGAGTAGGCTCTCAGCAGGCAGGTTATCTTTGGAGCAGAGAAGTTACTCTCTGAACATCCCCATTGCTTCCTTGGAAGCTCTGAATCAAGGAGGGGGTCACGGGCGTCCAAGGACCTTCTCACCTCTGGCTACAGATATTATGTCTTTCACCAGTGGTAGCTTAGATGAGCCAACAGATTACCTTCCAGTAACCACACCTTCAGTAGAAAAGCAGCCAGTTTTCCCTCCTTTGATTCTGGAAACCTCTGCTACAGCTCCCACTTCTTCGCCCCCTGTTCTGGCTGCGGAGATGAAAACCAGCCCGCAGGCAGAGTCACCTACCGAATCTCCTTTCCCATTGAAGGACTATTACAAAAATGGCACTGTGATGGCTCCTGACCTTCCTGAAATGCTAGATCTAGCAGGCACAAGATCCAGACTGACATCAGAGAGCGCTGACCCTGAGATAGTGAGAAGAAAGTCAGTTCCCGCAGATGTGCCAGCCCTTATGGGTGACAGCTTGGCCCAGTTCGGTTGGGTAGACAAGAGTCAGAAGGTAGCTAGAAGTGAAAGCCAACTGGAAGAGATTGGATATTGCATTTTCAATGAGTATACAGGGCCCATGCCCTCACCTGCTGATGTGCATAGTCCAATGGACTCACCTCCTCAGATTTTCACCACACTTGTCATGGAAGAGGATAAAGAAGAGGGAATTACAGTACCTGAGGCACAGAAAGCAAAGGAGGAGGAAAGCTGGAGAGCAGAAGCCATGAAAAAAGAGGAAAGTGAGGCTGAGGACAAATCTAAAATTGTGACTCAACTGGTATCTGAAGTAGACAAAGCAGTAATGGATGTTATAAAGGAAGATTCAGTGGCTGACATGGTTGGAATAAAAGAAATTGGGGAAAAGGAAAGTGTGGCTGTTGAGGAAGCCAGTGCAGAAAGTGACAAATTGGACACAGGAGCCAAAAGTGTTGTAATAGTGCATGAAGAAGAAAAAGTAAAAGAACATGATCTCACTTCTAAAGCTGGACCCATTTCTAATATCCAAGGGCAAGTAATTCCAGAGGTTGAAGAGCAGGAGCTTTCAAGAGACAGTACGTCTCCTGTCCCACCAGAGATAGATGACACAGGATCCAAGGAAGTGAAGCTTAGTGAAGGTTCTGAGGTTGAGTCTACAGCTGTGCATGCACAACCAGTTACCCTTGAAAGCACAAATATCGAGCCTGAAGTAGAACCTAAAGCAGATTCTGAGCCCAAACCTGAGGATTCTGAAAAGCTATTGAAACTAGAAGGCCGCCCTTTGAGTGTAGAAGAAGCACGGGAGCTGCAGGAAATGAAAGAGAAAATGAAAGAGAAGCCAGATTTGGTGCACCAGGAAGCCTATGAAGAGGTAGATGCAGAAGAAGTCTACACAGGTGTGCTAAGCAAAGAACGAGTGTCCAAACCTGAAACCACCAAACAGATGCCATCTACTGACAGCACTTCAGAGGAAGAAAAAATTGAAATACAGGAACCAGAAAAGCCTAAGCAGCCAGAGGAGGTACTGGTACCCAAAGCAGAGCTGGTAGGTGAGGAGACTCCAAAGGAATCCCTAGCTGTTTCTGCAAAGGAGGAGGAGCCTGCAGCAGTGACACTGGAAGTCACAGGAGAAGAACTGAAAGAGAAGGAAGGTGAAGAAGAAGTGGAAATGGCTGAAGAACCAGAAGAGGTCCTGGAGGAAGTCAAGGAACCCGTCTCACTGGAAAAGCAGGAAGAGGAAGAGGAAGGGTTGAGTGGTGAAGCTGGTGCTGAGGAAGCACTGGAACCCAGAGGGGTCATTGAGTCAGTCGTCACTGTGGAAGACGACTTCATTACTGTGGTTCAGACTATCGATGAGGGCGAGGAGCCCTGCCACAGCGTGAGGTTCTCTGCACCCACTGAAGAAGAGCCACAACGGGTGAGCTCTAAGGAAGAGGAGGAGGAGCAGGAGGAGGAAGAACAAACAGAGGAAGCAGAGGTTGAGGGCGCAAGCCTGGAGGAGGCTTCTGAGGTTCCTGCCTCTCCTGCGAAGGAGGAGGTTCCTGAGTCTGAATGTAGAACAGAGACATATGATGACTACAAAGATGAAACTACCATTGATGACTCCATATTGGATACAGACAGTGCCTGGGTGGACACTCAAGGTGCGAGTTTTATTTTATTTGTTGCTTAACATTACAAAATATGTATCTGAACTTCAAATGTTACCTGAAGAACAATACTGCTTTATTTTCTCCTTTGCTCCTTTGTATATATCCCAAATACCATTAATGTATGAACACATGCATTCAGTTCTTTACCAAGTTACTTGGTATGTTCCCATATTCACCTTGGGAAATTTACAAAGAGTAAAAAGCACTAAGTTGTTTGCCTTTGATTGAACTTATTTTAATTATCTGCAAATTTGGCGATCTTATTCGGCTCAGGAACACAGACATCAACGTGTCTCCATAATTAAACTGGTTCTAGTTATGTTCATTTTTAAATCACCACTAATGGATGTTGATATACAGTACAGTAGATGAGTATCAATAATCATCATTAATTCTATGAGATGTTGTTTTAGATCAGTATTAATTGTGACAAAATAGTTGGACATACATTATCAACTGCATATGTGTGAGGAGTGAGCTAGACATCGTAGGATGTAAGAAAGACAAAAGATATAACACTGTTACTTAACACAAGGGCTCATACTGGAGTTTTTAATAAATAACACATAAGTAAACTGCACTTGACCAAGGGATTGTTGTGCCTTTTTGCCTGCTATGGGCTCAGTCTTCTTGTTTTGCTCCTTATGAACTACAGATGACGACAGGAGTATCATGACTGAAAAGATCGAACCACTTCCCAAAACGGAGAGCCTTGAAATCAGAAAACCCTCTGTGGAAAAACTCACAAAGGAGAAGGGAATGGGTAGGGGGAAGGGTCGGGTCTCCACTCCTGAGCGCAAGCCAGCCAGAAAGGAGCCCAGTTCTGTCCCCAGGGATGAGATGAAGAAGAAAAAAGGTTCCTATCCGAAATTAGTATTATACATTTACTACATTACTCTTACTTAATTTAATCTTCATTAATTTTCAGCATCTTTTGGTGTAACTTTGATTTGAATACAAAAGATTTTACAAATCACCTTGTAATTTTTTCTAAGTCATTTTTTCTGGATTTTAATTTATACAGATATTGTTCCAGTACGATTATGGCAGCCACCCCCAAAACTGCTATCCGTTCCCAAGGAATTGCACAGCAGTAAATGAAATGGAAATTGTTTTGATTTTCAGATCGCTGGCTGGGTAGAGGATGTGGGAGAAGACTGGGTTTTTCATATTATGTGCAAAAGCCTGAGTTGAAGTCACATTAATGTCTAGCGCCATCAAATAGGTCATTCAGAATGTTATTTTCCTACCACAAAATGCAGTGGCTTTTTGTTCCATCTGCACACTAAAGCTTTTTTTTTTTTTACGGTTTTCATCGTACAGTGTTTGATTTCTTTCTTACCTTAGATGAAGGGGTTGTCTGAATAATATTGTAATCCTTCTGTGTCGGTGATTTAACTCTGCTCAACCTGACTTTGTCTCTCCTTCTTATAGCAGTGTTTAAGAAGGCTGAAATAACTAAAAAAACAGACATACAGACCCGATCTCCTTCCCGGAAAATTGTATTAAAACCTGCTGTCAGATACCCTAGACCAGCTCAGCATCACGCCTGTGCTAAACGGAAACCAACAGGTGACAACGCCCAAACAAAACAATCTGCAATGTGGCTGGCAAACATGGACATCCGTATCTCATTGCTAGAGTGGTTTCTTTCTGTTGTTCTTGTGGGTTTTGTGTTGTTGTTGTTTTTTTTAAGCCACTGGGCTGCGTTTTTTTTTTTTGCAGACTGTGGCATAGTTCTCTTCAATGCTTATGCCATTCGTGAATTTTTCTCTCGTAGCAGAATGTTTTTTTGCATATCGAGCAGTAACCATGATCATTCATGCTTTCTTTTCTGTTCCATTTTCTTTCTTGCTTGGTTAAACCACCGTGGTCGTGCATTGGCCCTGCATTGGCATTCAGCGCTTTTTGCCATTCTTCTTCTCCTTTACTCTATCAGTGGCAGTTTTTCTTGGTCAGAAATGACTGTATGTGAGCAGCAGTCTGCAGCTGGGATTATGGAGTGGAATCGGCAGAATTGTACTGGTTTGTTTTTGAAGAGCTTTAGCATTTTTATGTATCACTTTTAAGCTGGTTTTTGTAGCTCACTCTTGTCGTGGCACAGATGATTGCCCAGGATGCTAGTTTCCTCAGTTGGGCTACCTTGCCAAAAGTTGCCTGCCAGTGTACTGTGCCACTGTGTTTCAGACAGTCTGGGCTCTATTGTGTTATGTGGGGAAGAAAAGCTAATGTACTTTATGTGAGAGGGACCTAAAAGTAGTATGCAATAATAAAGAGAGAACTCGGTATGAAATGAAATCTTAATTTTTTATGATTTCAAGGTGAAGAACCCCACAGTTTTACCCACAATAATCCAGGATTAACTTTATATTACCGACCTCCATTCACATTAACCGCATATAATGACTGTATATCCTGGATGTAGGTAAAGTGTCTTTTACGTGTGTGTCTGTGAGCAAGTACAGTAGCTTGTCAATGGTGGGATTTCTGGGGGGGGGGTCCAGTCAGACTTGCAGCTGAGCCTTTTCAGATCCAGCTGCGGCGTTAGATTTTCCGTGTGGTTTTCGCCCTCAGTGTGTCATGCACCATTCGCTCCAACCATCGCTGCTTTTTCTGTGAGTCCTCTCCAGAGTCGGCGTGCTTTAACCACCCCAGTGTCCCTCTCTCTCTCTGCAGCTGTGGCCGTGACAGAAGGGAGGCAGCCCCTCAGCGTGGCCAGGCAGACCAGGGACAGAGTCACAGTGAGTCCTTTATGCTCTTTACTCATATCATGGAGTAAGTCTCTCTGCAGTACCAGACAATGCTCTATGTGGAAGGGCTCTCAGGTGCAGCTTCTGTATTACACAGCACTAAGTGTTTATTCTGTTCTTAAGGTGAAAGTTTTACTGTCATGCATCTCAGGCATCTCATAACTATGATATTTCTCTGACTAGATTCAAATGTGATACATTTCTGAATGAGTAATTGCTTTTTTTTTTCAAATATTAAATGATGGAAATGTTTGGATATTAGCTGTCTGGTATAGACCTTCTCCTAATTGGTGCTATAGTGTTACCACATGCAAGCTCTTTCATTTACAGTGCTTTCAAGAGCAATGCACGGATGCTGTAAATTCAGTTCTTATTTTCCCAGAAGCTGTTTTTTTTTCCACTTTCCTGAAAGCGTTCCCGAAGCTTTTTTCAGTGCTCACCCATAATTTACTCGTCATGTTCTTCACCAGCGCTGTTCGGACAAAATGTTAAAGTTGACAGTCTGTGTAAAGCTGAAAGAGATCAGTGAAAGAGAACAGCACGATTTCTGAAGGGATTTCTAAGATTACATTGTCAGCAGCTTGATTTATTAAATCATAAGCCTTTCCTAATGAGATTGAAAAAAATGTCCATTTCACACTGTCCAGATAAAACATGCATTTAGTCTCATCAGCTAGCGTTTTTCTTTGAGATCCTAATTACTTTCCTCACAGTAGATGATGAAAAAACTAATCTCTATATATAATGTTATTACTAATTCTACACATCTATCTACATTTATATGTCTATCTAAAATAATAAATACAAGTTTAATACGACTCATATTAAAGACTTAAATCTGAAATGCTGCAGGGATGACTTCAATCAGCATCAGAACACATACAGTACATTACAGCTTCCAAAGTGTGCCTTGTCTTTGTCTTTCATTTCTTTTGTTTTCATTGTCAAGCTTTCTATTTTATTTTTTGGTATTGCACATTTTTACATTTGTCACTACTTCACTACAAGGTCTCTTGTCAGTAAAGTTTTCTGTAGATAGGAGATAAAATGATATCACATGGGTATAAAGAGTTAGTGTGAAATGTTTTTGTCTTCGTCAAGTGGGCAGTCCTAAAGGTAGTCCTTAATCAAACAGTCCCACTAAAGCCTCACATTAATTATCAAGACAGGCTTTGACTGACATTTATTCAAAGGGTCTCTTAAGAATTGTCAGCTCTAATATTACTATCATTCTTTTTTGATTAATCACTTGGATGATGCCAACACACACCCCTCTGTTTATAAAACAGCTTGTAATTTCTTCAAATGCTCAATTGCTTCTAGCCTATTCAGTATGATTATACAATAATACAAAAAAATCATGCTTGTTTTGCATTAATTGATCTTGATGTTCATTTACAGTTTGAAGAAATGGTTTAATGTAGCCATAGACTTATTATTATCATGTTGCATGTCATCATTATGCAAAGGCATCTACTGTATGACACTTTACAGAAAGCTGCGCAGTACAGCATTATCATATGATTATTCCTTCTAACAGGCAAAGAAAAAAGGCGAAAAAATAAGAATGTTTCTAATAATTCTAATACTGCTAATTGTTTGAGTATGGTGAATTTTTAAAGAATCTCAAGGCACATGAGAACCTGTACTGGCTCTGAATGGCATAACTACTATAAAAAAACATTACTGAGTTTCATTACTGTATACACTTAATTTGTTTTATGGTTAACTTTAATTTGGATCATTTTTATTCATTCATCAGTGTTTAGCCTGTGTTATTTCATGTGTTCCATTGTCTTTTTAGTCATTTAATTTTTCATTTGCATTTTTAATTTAATTCTTCACCACCTCCCTTTCTTGTCTTTCACTCTCACATCAAGAACTCATCCCCCTCTGCACTCACAAAGATCCCTACCTCTAAAGTGCGGGCCTCAGCCCTGCTCCCTCCCAGACCCAGCTCGGCTTGCTCGTTCACTAAAAAGACCTCTTACCTCGAGTCAGAGCTGTATGGCCCGCGACCGTCCTCCGCAGGGCCCAGAGACTACCACACAAACCACAGCCCCTTAGCCAAGGTAAGGAGAGCCAGGGCAGGGTCTCACATGTTGCACCCACTAAATGGAAACACATTTATTGTACCATACGTAGTGTATATTTGGACTTATTTGTGCTGTCTCCAGGTTTTTCATTCTTTGTGCACTTTTGAGCTTTGAGTTTGCTGACGACGAGGTTCAGCTTACCGTGCCTCAGGCTTTTCATTAACATTGTACCGAAAGAAAAACACAAAGGGTGTGATTAATCCACTTCCGAAGTTAATTAACTTTGTTTGTGGCGTTTTTTCATCCTGTTTTCAGTACAATAAGTGGTCTGAAATGCGTTAGCTACTGACGTTTTTCTGGTGGTCTCCCATCCAGGGGCGCCGTACAATGGCTGACCCTGCGCTCTGACCCCAAGCTTCTCTCCCTGTCTGTGTCTCCATGGAGAAAAGCTGGGGTATGCGAAAAGACAAATTCCTAATGCAAGAAATTGTATAGGGCTAATAAAGAAACATTATTATTATTATTATTATTATTATTATTATTATTATTATTATTATTATTATTATGTAGCAGGTCACTTTTGTCTGCCACCAATAGTAGCTAAAAGTTAATGGCTGCTGGTGGAAAGCATTGCTTTTTTACTGTAGATAAGGGCTGCTGCTAAAGTGAGATATTGCATATTAGGTATTGAGGCTGAATCTCTAAATTTCTACTTATGTAAGCAGAAACAGCCACTGGCTCGATCATATTGCATTATCATTGCATTAATTTAGATTCAGTCAAAGGATCTGGTGATGAAGTCTTGTTTTACTGAGTTTAGCAAATATTTTTCTGGGATTTAGTTTTTTGGGGGGAATTTCTGATTCCTTCTTTCTGTACTTTTAAGCATTTTCAAAGCCTCTTGTCACTGATGGATTTGTTCATGCTAATGGTGTGATCATACCCTTAGCCATCCTGAATTATAGTTCAATATAAAGGCTAGTATATTATTAATCTCCACAAGAGTGAAAGGGAGACATTTGGCCATCTCACTTGTTTGGTAGTAAGCAGCTATACGTGTCAGGGATCTCATTGAACCATTTTTTTGAAGGAAGTCGGGGAATTGGTTTCATTGATCTAGTCCTGAAGCTTGTTCCATATTCCCACAGCCAGTACGCTTTCACACAGTTTCCACTGGTTGACTTTGTCAGCGCTTTCGAGGCTTTTAAATCCTAGAATCAGGTCTCCTCACTGTCGTCCTTGTTCAAGACTAAAATGGTTCTGTTCCTTCAGCCTCTCGGTGTCAGTCCCTTCCTTCCCAGAAGAGTCTGTGTGGTAACAGCCATAAACACAGCAGAAACGCCTCACACGGCCGCACTGCAGTGAAGCTCCACCACTCGGGGGGGGGGTGAAGCCCAGCAGGGCTCTCACGCCCTGCCTTCGTGTTGTGTGTGTCAGGATGGCAGCTCACGGAGCCCAGAGAAGCGCTCGGCTCTCCCCAGGCCTTCCTCCATCCTGACCTCCCGCCGCGGCCCAGCTGCGGACCACGACGAGAGCTCCACCTCGATCACCAGCTCCGGCTCCACGGCGCCTCGCCGCCCCACCTGTAAGAGCCGGCCCCCTCCCCTCCTGTTTCCCAGCATCCTCCCCTGCTGGCCCCTAATGCAGCTAGTTCTAGCTGCCGTCGTCTCCATCGGCACCATGGAAACCTCTTCTCCTGCCTTGTTAATGTCTAACTCTTTTTATCTGCATGAAATGTCTTCTTCGGTTTACACTTCTGTGATGTGGGTTAAAGTGCTTACTGAATTAAGTAAGAATGAAGTAAGGTGGTCTTTTCTGTTGCATATTATATTCCATTGATTGTTTATTGTTTGTAAAAATGTGTAAAATACAGTGATGTGAGGACCTTTTGGGTTTTACAAGTTAAAAGCATGACAATTTGACCAATTTAAGAGAAAGTGGTGACATTTGAAAGACTTAAAATGCTCTGTGCTATATTCCAGTCTCAATTTAGGTGTGACACCCAACTGCTTTTGTATCACTGAAATGAATTCTTCTTTTACTCATCTACCCAGGCTGTGTGGAGGTGTAAGATTTTAAAACTCCTTAGGTGAACCAGAGCCTTTGCCTATACCCCCCAAATTGACCTTTGCCAGAGCAGAAAAAAATTACATTAAGAAAAATCAATTCCTTCTGCTCCTGAAAAAGAAACAATCCTAAACTGTGCAAAAAGTCAGTTCAACATGTTTAACATGTGTCCTTGTAAGGGACTGAGGCTGAGACATTCGATAGTTTGATCTAGATCACTGACAGAAAACGTCAGCAATGACAGCAGCACAAGACTGCTTGTGTGTTGAAGATGCCTCAGCGTGTCCCTTTAAATAACTTTGCAAAATTCTCTTCTTCAAAGTTGTCAGGATGCCCTCTAACCCTCTGAAGGTTAGCCTTTAGTTCACCCCCGGATTCAAGTAATTGGAGATTTTTAACAGTAATCCCAGGAAGACAAATCATGTGTTTCTCCAATATGAAATAGCTGATAAAACTGATATGACTGATCAGGGAGATATGCCCACTGCAGGATGAGATTCTAGTTTTGCTGTTTCAACACAAAGAGTGGCTTCAGCAAAACTGCTTTTTTCACACTACACATTCTTTTTTAAAAGAATGTTCAGTTATCACCAACACTCTTATTACCTTCCTGCAGATAAAAGGTCCTTATCCACTGGTGTTCTGTGGATGCAAGAGCCTGTTATTTTCCCCCACAGGATGCCTGTCCATTGCATGGATTACAATATATACCACTGAGTGGACAGGGTGGACTCAAGCCCATAGCCTGTTTTGGGTCATGAGTTGAGAGACGTACAGTATGTACTACACTACACTACCTCCACATGCTAGACAGAGCTCCTATGTCTTTTATTACAAATCTTTTCTTTGCTTTTCACTGCTTTAGAGCTTCTAGATGTAGTATTGACAGCTGTTGCCCTCTTTTCCCTCCCTCTTTCTCTAACCTCAAACATGCTTTCCTTTCCCCCAATCCCCCTCTCCCATGTAGCATTCCGTTCTGAAGGAAGAGCCGAGCAGAGAGCCGGGAGAAACCCCAGTATGACAGGTAGCTAAAGCTGTCCCTTCTCCATCCACCCCTCCTTGGCAGATCCTTCGGACATTTCTCCTTCTCACTGGGCTTCTCTCTGGATTCTTTCTCATGGAAAACATTTTCAGCATGGCTTCCACATGCCAGTTTACTGCAAATAACCTTTTTTTCTGTTCCTTCCCAAAAAAGTTATCTTGCCTTCAGTGTGCGAGACTAGATCATTTAGCACTATGACTTGCATACTTGCATAGCACATTTGTAAGGACATTAAAAAGGATGGTGAAACTAAAGAACAGGATTGTGAAGGCAATTTGACAGTGGAACACTTAGTAAAACTGTAGAAAAGTGTAAAATGTTTATACAAATTTTCCATGATAAACTTTTGAATGCCTTCATTCACCCTAGTACCAGCTCATTATTGCCCCTGGCTGGTCTACTTTGTTCATGGACAGTTGGTCAGAAAGAAGTCACTTGAATTTATTTTAAGAGTTTTCTACTTTATTCTTGAATTTGCCCTGGCAGTTCTGTGTTTTCCTTGCTCTACAAAAATGTCCAGTGTCTTGTACAAGTCTCGCGGCAGGGACTGTGCAGCTTGTAGACCGTCCTGCTGTGACTTTGATGTGGTGGCATGTTGAGGCCTGGCCACAGTGAGAAAGTGTCGATTGGGCTGTTCTGCAGGGACGGAGTCGGCCCGCTCCAGGTCGGCCAGGAGTGGCACCTCCACTCCCCGCACTCCGGGTTCCACGGCCATCACCCCCGGAACCCCACCCAGCTACTCCTGCCGCACCCCAGGGACCCCCGGCACGCCCAGCTATCCCCGGACTCCTCGCACGCCCGGCACGCCCAAGTCCATGAGCCTGGTGCCCCAGGAGAAGAAGGTGGCCATCATCCGCACCCCACCCAAGTCGCCCGCCACCCCCAAGCAGCTCCGCGTCATCAACCAGCCCTTGCCTGACCTGAAGAACGTCAAGTCCAAGATCGGCTCCACGGACAACATCAAGTATCAGCCCAAAGGGGGACAGGTAAGAAAGGCTTTCTGCCTCAAGGGCCGCTTCCTCTTCGGCTGCTGCTGGCGTCACTGCTCAGGCAGTTCGCTTGCCCGTGAGAAGTGATGTCGCTGCCACCACTGACACGCTGTGCCTGTTCCTAACATCAGCACCCTGCGGCTCCCCTCTGTGCGTTCTTTTCTGTTCTTTGTTGTGTTTTTCTTCTGCTCCTGGTGGTGTGGAGTTTAATTGTCCATTTTTTTGTACCATGCTTTTTGTGTCTGTTCTGTCATCTGTAATGGGTTGAAAAGGATCCAGAGTTTTATTTTTAGATTAGAGATCGTGAAACAGCTTTCCTACAGGCTGCCCCTCAACTAAGATACAGAATAGCTGTGAAGTAGATAGGAATTGTGTATTTTAGAGGTGGTGATATGGTAGCATGGTGGTATATCATTGTGAGGGACTGGAAGTAATTGAAATATTTAGCTTGATCTGTTATGGTTGCCTTTTGTTACTTTACTTGAACCCTCATCTCATCAGTTCACTTCTGCTATAGTGTCTGTGTGTCTGGGAAATACATAACTGTTTAGCTTCATCAAATGTGCCTTTATGTTGAAATTTCACATTTCTAATCAATCAGTTTGTTTAAAGGTGTGGCAGAAAATAGGTTTTGGTTCTGAATTTATTGGACAAGCTGATTTTTAAAGACTTAAAACCAATGCAATGTTTCTGCTCTATTCTTGACAAAATTTAATGCTTCGTCCTTAAAACAGTTCATCGGATACACTTCTTATTTATGCAAGGACTTGTCTCTGCTTTTTGGGCTCATTAGTACAATAAAATGTATAAATATTCTGCTAAATAACAGTCATGGTTTAAAAACACTCATGCATTTATTAATTACTGTAACTTGTCATTACTTTCAGTGCCGCATATTCAACTTTTAAAACATTCTAATCCTTGAGGTAATAAAAAATATAGATTATCTTGTGAAAAATATTCCTTTCCTGCTATGGTAAATACCAGGTAGGAGCTGAAAGCTTGAAACATCAGTGGGGACGTCAGTGAACTTTTAACATGATGTGCTTTAGCTGTTTATCACTAGCACTGCTCTTAAGAATGCAAAATGCTTGGGCCCCCTGACTGTCCCTGTTTACTTCCTGACTGGCCTAACCGGTAAATGCACTCACCTCCGTACATGTTCAGTTCTGTGCGCACAGTTTGAGTCTGGGTCATGTAACTAGCCGACTGTGACTGGGATTCCTCAAGCAGGGGCAAACAACTGACTGAGTACCTTGGAGGGTAGGGCGGCATCAGTCTTCCCGGAGCTCACTCAGATCTCAGCAACATACCGATTCCCACAGCCTCCTGGGTAAATATCCTATACTGTAGGACTGTGGTACAGGGCTGTGCTTCCTGTGGACATGTCACGACTCGACATGTGACTCGACTCACATGACTCGAAGGTGGGCGAGGAGTCTGCGCTTCCTCTTTCTCCCCTGTGTGCAGGGATCGGAGATGAAAACCCAGATGTGAAAATATACAATTAGCTATTCTTAATTGAGAGGGTATATTACTAGAAATAAATAATGATTCTCCATCTCTGTAATAGGTGATTCTAAAAAAATGCTAAAATGCTGTATTTTTATACCAGATAAGCACAAATTAAAGCAAATGCTTCTTTGTCTATGGACTGTTTGTAAATATATATAAATATAATACTGTGTATTCAACAACTTTATGTGATGTTTTGCTGCATAATAGGGAAAATCATGTCTTTTTCTCAGGAGCTGACAGTGTTAAGTAGGGGTATATTTTAAAGTTCACTGTTAGGCCAAATCCTTAAATGCCTGTTTAAATGTCACCGTCTGGCCTATGACACTCTTGGTTCCAGTGCCAGGCAGTGTGCTCTGGCTCATCTCTGTCTGTTTGTATTGCTCGTCTGAGCTCTGTCTTGTCTCTTCATGCTCAGTATGCTGTAAAGGCTGCTATAAAACAATGTACTTCTCCTGGGTGGCAGGGTGATCCATTCACAGAGACAGAGGCCTGAGGAAGACTGTGTCTGTGAAGCAAAGTCCAGCGAGCACCAGCCTGATGTTTGTATTTATTCAGCACACATCATGATTAATTGAAGGTTTATATTTGCTTTACCTACAGTAGTTTCAATGTAATGCCTAATATTTTTGTTTCTGAGTCCTCAGTTATGTCTTCTTTACAATACTGAAGTAAGCTGACAGTGTAAGCTTTACTTACTTTTTACCCCTAATAAATTGATTGAGTTTTTGAAGTTGGAAGTAAAATGATCTCACAAAGATGACTAAAACCTAGTTTGCATGGTCAGAGGATCTTTTTTAATCCCTGCTCCCTGTTCACCTGTACATCAGTACGATATCAGGATAAATCTAATACTAACTTTCTCGCTTTGAAGTAAATTGTTTATTCAGAATAGTTTTTTAAACCTACTCCAAGACCTAGAAAGTTTTAAAAAATCCATCACTCATTACCATTAGCATACCTGGGGAATCTGAAAAGACCTCTGCCCTTCTGAGGATCATGGTTAAAGTGAATGCTTTAAAGTGTTTTGAAGCAAACCAACGTGTGTGACCTTCAAGTTCCTTCAAAAGGTCACCGCCATTCATCTATTCAAAGGTCACTTATTCAGGATTTTTCTCCTGCTTGTGTTAACAACATTCCATGACCAAGCCTGTCGGTTTTCTGACAGTAGCACCTTGCTGGATTAAGTCTTCTTTGGTATCATTTGGAAAACTTACATTTAGAGATGTTCTTTTCCTGCACCTGGGTCAGACAGAAGGGATGGTTTGTAGCTCTTAATGTTGAAAGTAATGGATTGCTGTGAGACCGTATTATGGTAATGGAATGCAAAGGACTAGGCTCAAGTGAAAGCTTACTGAAGTCCCTTAGGTTTGACAGTCAAGAAGGGCACCTGTCTTGCGGTACTTCTATCTATCATTTTCAGTCATGCCTGTCTCTCTCTCCATTTGCGTTCTGATTTTTCAGTCTAGCTGTAGCTCACATAATTAATTCTAAAGTCCCTTTGCCCATGCATCATGAGAAGCTCACTTATTCCTGGCATGAAAGAGGCCATCCCAGAAGCACAGGGTAAAGTCAGGACTACACCCTGAATGGCATGCCATCACAGGGCACACTCACATAATGTATTTTTCAGTTTTCAAGAAAACATCATTCAACCACTACGACAGGATCTCTGTCCCCGAGGTTAGAAACACACTTTCTGGTGAAATCAGCTGTCTGTCATAACCCTGCCCACTCAAAGCAACATGTTCTTACTAGGGCCTTTTTATTTTCGTCTGAAACCGTGGTGTGTGCCTGCAAGAAGCAAGCTTTATAAATATTGATTTGTTCTCTTTTTAGAATCCCGATATTAAACAGATGTATCATACAGTAATGGCACAGGTTCATTTTGAGGCATTCAGAACCTCTTTTCAATGCCATTTTTGATGAGTTAGTTCAGTTGTTATTTTTCTCAGGGCTTTTCTACTGGATATGACTGTGTAACCAGAGGGAAAGCCTAATCATGATGTGTCTTACACTGTCACTGACGTTGCTGCTGATTAACTGAAGTCTGAGGGGTTATCTTGGGTTGCTGTTTTGAGTTCACTGACAGAGTGCGAGCATTTGGGGTCAGTGCCTGGAGAATAGAGTTATCTAATGAAAGTCTAGATCCTTTTATAGTGATGTGGAGCAGAAATAAGGAGGGAAAAACCATCATGAATGACTGCAGCTGTCTCAATTGATACTCTGCTTGCACAGCAGTGTCTCTATGCGAAGTAACAGAGCGTATATCTACGCTCAAGGCTGACTCAGTTCAAATTGGATGTCAGGAGAAAGCAGTCTTTATGCAATATTTGTTTGGTGATGCTTTGGGAGGTGTGACACTGCATTCATGAAACATTCAGCAATAGGTTTGTGCCTATTTTTTTTTTGGCTAACAAAAAAAATTGTAAAGAATCCTTATCTAAGAGTCACAGCAGGTATCTAAACCTTCTGTTTTTAGGTTTCTGAACTTTGACATTTGTTCTTTTGTTTGAAACCTTTTTTGTCACAGTAACCCATGTAATTAATTTGTAATAAACTGTCAAAGTTTCTAACAGTTACCTTACAATCCTTCGCCGTCTGTGGAGGAGAAAACAAAACTTTAGTAAAATAATTGGCATTTATACTTGTCGACAACAGTTTGACTAACCCTGAATAACTAACTCTAATGCTCAAAAGAGCTGAAAAGTATACACATGTTTTTGTGTGACAGGGACAGTGGTGAAAATCAAAAATCCCATGTAAGTTGTGCCTTTTGTATTGTAATGTAGCCTTGCCTTCGCACTCCGTGATGTGTAAAGTTACATCCTAATACATCACACATTATAGGAGCCGCCTACACAAGATTATCAATCAGCAGAGGGAATCCTGCCATCAGCAAATTGGTCAGTGTTTTCTGCAGGGCCAGGCCCAGCTGGAAGACGTTGCAGTGCACCACTCACAGAGCAAGTTCATAGGATCTAGTACCTGGCTCATGTGGCTTCCTGGCACTAATTAAGTGAAGGGCTGATTGTTCTTCATCTTAGTGTTTCTAAGTAGTCTAGCAAGTACAGTACAGTACCATCACTCTAACCACAACTTACCACCAGTGAGACTGCTGTGAAATGTTCAGTTTTGACATAAATATAATTCCTGCCTTATTGAATCCTAAGATAAAACACTTTCAAGAGAACAAAATTCTAGAAAACATCACAAAAAGGAAGTTTTCATGTTCTGATGCGTTAGCTTTACATGGCAGTTTCTTGTTGCAGCCCAGAATTTAGGTCACATAAAGCCATGGAGTTTGGGTTATCTTGTAGGATTAATTTATAAAAATCCAGGTCACAGGGCTTGTGATCGAAGGGGCCTGTAATTTAGAAGGCTTTGCAGTCCCGGACTGCAGCTGTGCTTGGCAGCGCTATGGCCTTCCTCATCACCACAGTACTCATCAGCACACAGCTGATGGAATCGTGCCTGATGGGGGAGGGGGCCTGATCCTGACTGATGCATCAGTGCTGAGCAAGCTAATGTGACTCATACCATCCTTCTACCCACGTTTCTGTGAAGTCCCATTCCAATTCCTTGCCCCGAGCGTCTCGCGTTTGCCGAGTAAGGGAAGAGAGGTGCCCCTCTGGATCAGTTTTAATCCCTGTTGTGCTGAACAGACACTTCAAAATCCCAGAGGCCGATGGTGTTGTCTGCAGCTTTGCAGAACGTTAAAAGCGCAGAAATTTAAACACATTTTCAATGAAAACGACTGTGTTCCTTATCTGCCTACCCCAGCCTAATGCATCTTGGCTCTTTATATTTTTCAACCTCAGTATATTTTGGATACCTCGGTGCACTACTTTGAGGTTTCAGTGTAAAGCTGTAAAACATGATGAGGCCCCTTAATAGGATTAGTGTTGCATACTGTTCTTTAAAAAAATATATCTGCATTTCATACTCCTGTATGTTAAATTATGCATGAGTGGAGCCCAGGTGTAAAAGTAAGCTCATCAAAATAGGCTTAGCAGTAAGAAGCACAACCTCAAGCCTTAGGATGGATAGATGTTGAGAACTGCATCTTGATTTCTTCTGAAATAATAACTAAATGACAGTTGGTTGAAGATATGGTTTTATTGTGCTGCTTTTGCAAATACAGCACTAAACCTGTAGAGAGTGTTAGACTGGAAGCTATTCTTTGCTACAGCTTACACCAGGGTAATATATTTTTGCTAATATCACTTTTTAGACGTTTTCTGCATTCCAATAAAGGTTTTACTGCACGCAATTTACTATGTTTCTGGTGGCACAGTACTTTATATGTTATGCAGGTTATCCTGTGCTATGTTGTATTTAAATTACAAAGGACTTGTATCAATGATTGACACCGTTAACGTGACACCCAGAATGTTCCCAACTCTTAGTTGTGACTGAGAGCTGCACACTGAGTAATTGCACCATGTTATTGATTTTTATCAAATCAGTGTTTATGAATAGAATATTGCAACACAGATAATATCATATTTGGGCTGTAAGGACAAATGTATCAGGACTCTATCAAAAAATATCATGAGCTCACACAGGTAAACAAAATGACTTACGTAAAAATCAAATCCTGCTCATCAATATACTGTATTGTAATATGTATGCTTACAATGAATCTTAGATGTGGTAAGCAGTATTGAGGAATATTACTGATGTCATTCTACAGTGTTTCAGTCCTTTCCTGGGTCTTTTCTAGACCTGTAATGCAAATCCTGCACTTGTCTCTATTTTATTAACATGCATTGACAAAAAGTGTTTAAAAGTGATGTTTAGTTTAACTGCTTCCATGTCTTCTTTGTTGCACATTGATTTCTGTGACACAACTTGTCTTTTTCTGTGGAATTACAGCAGCCTCATTTTGGTGTGGGAAATACTAGTACCCAGTAATCGTGGGTGACTGTTCGATGTGCACCTGCGGCCTCTTGTTCTTATCTTAACATGTGACCTGTCTGGTGGCTCTTGCTTGATCTCTTCTGCATTCAGAAACAAATTCTTGTCTTTTGCACTTTTCACACTCTTTATGCCTTTTGTGTGCCTCACTGTTTCTGCACACATGTGGGCAAAAAGTTGTTTGTGTTTCTTATAATGCTTTGAAAAAAGTGGTGAGGGGCTTGTAAGAACGTTATAAATTTCTAGGAAATTTATAAGGAGGTATAATGCAGTATATAAGACAAGTGCGAATGAGTCTTTCTCAAAACGTGTTGATATTGCTTCACAATTGGTCGAGACAAATTTTAATTTAGTCTTCTGTGGTTAGACGTTTTAAGAAGGGGTGCAGAACTTGTGTTTTGGCATCACTAATGGATGATACTAGCAGATCTTCTGTTTCCTCATGTTTGGTGTTTCTCTGCTGTGTGGGTACGTGAGCATTAGTGTCTGTGATGACAGTCAGATGTTCCCTTTGCTGCATTCTGTGCTCTTCAGCACATTCCATTTATATAGTCTCCTTCACAGATGCAAAGCACACTTTCTCTGTAACTGCCCACGGTGGGTAGTCTAGTAAGGTCTGTTTTTAAGGATAATACATGTTATGGAAATTCACAGATGTGCTGTATACACACCAAAAAATGTTTTTTTTATTCAGCAGCTCTATCCTGCGTTCCACTCAAACATTCTTTTTGAACCCTGATGAAAAGCAGACATACTGCAAGCACCCCTTGCTAGACTTGGTGAAAGCAGTAGCTACCAAGAGGTCATGTCTGGTAGCCTCGGTTCTGGTAGGGAACCAAGTGCCAAGCAGTCCCATGGGCTTTTTAGTTGCCCCCCTTTGGCACACGATTGAGTAGTCCTGGAATTATGACCAGCTGCTAAAGCTGTGGGGAAACTCTCACATGTGAAACTCCTTTGTCGTGGATCCCTTTCTTTACTCCTTGGAATCTGTTCAGTGAGTCAGCATGTTGATCAAGCCAGTTCTAAAAGATACCACGCCCTCCCCCACATCAGCCCCCTCCAGCTGCTCCATCTGTGCCTTCGTCTATCTGTGATGCACAGCACGTTCTCATGAAGGTAAAGCAGTCGGGTTCTCTTGCTAATTAATGATAATGGGAACACATGACTTTGCTCACATTTAGGTGGCATCAGCCGTTGTAATAAATCACTCTTGACATGGCTGCTTTTTTGTACTGGTCTGTGCCACGCTTTTTAGCGACATCGACCCTGTATTCACAAAGGCGATAGGTGGGGTTGTTTGTTTCTGTTCTTTGGCTTCTTCTCTCGCTACTCTGAAACCGTTCCGTCTGTATTTTATCTTTCTTTTGTCATTTCTCTCAACATGCTGGCCAAGAGCCCGCCTCTCTGTCTGGTGCTGTCTGCACCACTGTCCTGTCTTCGCTGTTCCCCTTGTGATTTAGCTTCTTCAGTCATTTCTCTGGTGTTTTGTTTTTCTATCAAAACAGACGACAGGTTTGTGTCTCTTGTATGTGCCCAGTCTGCCAGTGGTGGGTGTGGTAATTGGTTTAGGTGTCAACTTTTGGCACCAGTTAGCTGACAATCGCAAACGGCCCAGAATGTGCTACTGAGCTGTGGTGTGGCTACTGACTTTCTGGGGTTCAGAATTCCCTCAGACCAAGCCATTAATCTGGCCATTTGAATATGACTGATATGACAATGGCCTTCTCCTCACAGTATAGTTTGGAAAGTTTTAACAATTGTTGAAGTGCTTTCAGCACTGGACACTGTCGTCCTGTGTATGGTTCTGGTATGAAGTGAATTGTCTTGGAGTGGATGCACACATGCTCTGCTGGAGGTGCTCTAGATACACAAACAGCTAATGCATAGCTGGCTTATTCTGTGGTAGGAGCGGTGAATATACTTTTACTCCAGCATAGTAAGATACAGATGCGGCAGGTCTACAGATACATCAAACCAATGGATACAACGTTCGCATTCACACACCTATACCACTTTAGATCTTTTTTTATTTAAAAAGGTATATATTTCTGTATCTTTCTAGATTCAGATTTTAAACAAGAAGCTGGACTTCAGCCACGTTCAGTCTAAGTGTGGATCCAAGGATAACCTGAAGCACTCGCCTCGTGGAGGCAATGTATGTACCACTCTTCATCACCCCTCAGGACCAGTGCTCGCATTACGCATGTAGAGATCCTGGAGGCTGTTAGCAGCTGAGCTGCTTCTGTGTCATAAAGAATCTAGCCCAGCACCAGGTCTAAGAGTGCAAGAATGCTTGTTCTGCCAAGGAAAAAAAAATATTTTTGAATTCTTTTTGCTAGTATACTTTAATGACCAGTAATGACACCACCACCATGATAGTGTGTATGGTTTTAAACCTTCGTCTTCCCTAATTATGATTTTAGTGATTTGAAATATCTAATTCCATTTTCGAGTACTACAGTTGGCTAAAGCCAGCACATAACTTGAGAGGGCTAAGAGGTGATAAGAGTCTTCAGATTGACAGTCTTCCCTCCTCAGGAGATCCAAGCTGTGGCTGTTGTGAAACTACAGAAACCAAGAAGATAGATGGGGCTTCCTTGGTACTTTTGAAATTTGACTTCACAAGGTCTCAAGGCGTGCATCTTTACGCTCATCGCATCTGGCTTGCATTATGAAATGCAAATGCTGTAAAGCGTTTGCGGTTTTAGAAGTCGATTTATTTTGGTTCACATTTAAAAACTGGTCGGTGTTGTTTTGAATAAGTTAAAAGAAGATATTTTGTCCATCTTTTAAAATCATTCAGATTTTGCTCTCTTTATACTAAATTCCAGCCACGTAATTAGTCATAGACTGGTATTGTGGGTAATGAATGTGGAGACCATTGTAATAGCTAGAGCAGCCTGTATTGTCACACTTCCAAACACACAGTTGTACAGCTGTGTTGAAGGTAATGTCATAGTTTGCTCTTAATAGCTCTGCAACTGCTAAATATGTGCAGAAGACACCAAGAAGATTGCCTCCTGCCAAGCTGTGTCAGAGGTTTTTCCAGGGGAGTCACCTATGCATTTCTTTTCCCAGCACACCTCCTGCTGTCCTACCTCTATACTTAAGGGATTTTAGTTATTTTTGTACTAAGGTGTCCCAATCCTAGCTGTCTGAACTCCAGTGTCTTCCACATTTCAATCTAATAGAAGTCTTACTTGTTTAACTCATCTATAATTGAACTAGTAGCATGCTTCCTAGACCCTTTAGGTGTGGTATGGGACTGAAGCTGTACTGTTTTTAGTTTTGTGCTTTTATGCCTTTTGTGTGCACGTGAGACAGTTTATTGATCATTTAACGATTGACACAGAGGTGAGGTATAGCCATTGGATGTCATTGTGACATTTGGATGCAAAGACAGAGCTGGAAAGGGGCAAATTGCAGGCCATTTGCATATAAGTGATTATAGAGAAAGAACTGTGCTGTACCTCCATACAATTATAATGTAGTCTTAAGTAGTTAAAGGAAAATATTATAAGGAAGAAGTAATTATCATGAGAGATTTTAATTTTCGTCATACAGATTGGGAAGTATCATCGGGAATGTCTGAAGCTGAAAATAAATTAGTAGAAATGACTAACAATTGCTTTCTTAATCAGTTTGTTAAAGCTTATACATTATGTTGACCTGTTGATCTAGTCCTTTCAATCATGATGGAAGACTTTCAGGAATAAGAAACATAATTAAAGTAATGTTTTCAAGCATTCTGCTTGACGTACCAACCACATGTATAGGTTCAACCTAAGAGTAAGTAAATCAAAATTTTGAAAGCAGTGACCTCAATCGTTTTAATAAAACAACTAAGAAAAGTATGAAGAAAAATAAAACATATTTTCAATTTAAAAAAGAATACAATCTGTTGCATGCACAGGTAAATAAAATGATACCAGGCCAAAGAGAGAAGCAAAAATATCAAAATTACAAGAGCTAAAGAACTGTAGAGGATGAAGTGTCTCAGAGATACTAATGGAAAATATATAGACAATGGAAGAGACAAAATTAAATGAATATGAAATTAATATTTCAGTCAAGTATTTACCAGGGAAGAAATTGACTGCATGTCTTGTTTAAGTGGATACATTTGCATGAATGATGTTGAAACTTCCATTGTGGTGGATTGGCGGATGACGTCTATCTATTCCTACAGTATATGTAAAGCACTCTGGAATCCTTTGGGATAAAAAGCACTATGTAAATGTGTTTATTATTAAAAGACATCCATAAGAGGTACTGTCCTGCAAGTCATGTCCCTTTTGCTTTACAGGAAACAACAACTGGAATGTGTTTTGAAACTAGATGGCTCCACATTGAGACTCTGGTTGTGTAATACTCTTTTCTCCCTGTTGATAAATACAGTGCCTTCATATGGTGGTGACTAAAGGAAAAATCTTCCATTGTATTGATGCAAGAAACATTCATTATATTTCTTCACAGAGCCTCTTCTTATTACTTTCTTTGGCTTTTTTCATTTTGTCCTTTATTTCATGACCTGTCAACAGCTATACTCCATATTGGCACACTGTGTGACGTGTTTTGCTGTATATTCTATCATGTTCAATCAAGCTGCTTTGTTTTTCTACAGCTGCTGTGGCGCCCAAACCATTGTGATTGAGAAGGAAGCTTTAAGTGATCTCTTGTGGCAAACTGAATTGTTTCTGTAGCTGTCAGAGACCATAGTGCTCAGGACTCTCTGATTAAAGAAATGGAAAAGGCATGCAGCATATAAGTCATGCAGCGCAATGCCATTGCCTATGGTACATGAGTACGTCAGTGATCGCAGGCATTAGTCGACAGCTTCACAGAAAAAATCACACATTGCATTTTTCCATGACACCCTCCACAATAATGTCCATTTTTGTAGCAATCTGCTGTACAGTTTCATAACAGGCATGTTATCCAAAAGCATCCCATCATACTGTGCAGTAAATTTTGGATTAAGTCCCTGTCACTTTACAGGTTTTCATACCAAGTGTAAAACTCGATTATAGCCATGTTCAGGCTAAGTGTGGCTCCCTGGATAAAAGACATTATTCTTCTGCAGAAGCAAACGTGAGTTTTTAAAGTCAATGTTACCATTTTGTTTATTTCTTATTTCTGTTGATAAAAATGAGAGTGGAGAAGCTCAAGTGAATGTAGTTCTGTATTTTCTTTGATGAAAAAGGCAGGAAAGTGGCATGTTGTTCTTCTGGTATGCATACAGGAGCAGAAGGATGGATGGCTATCGTTTTAGCTGTGTATACACTGCTGTGCAAATGTCTTAGTCTCTTTTAGGAGCTACAAATCATATTATGAGTATCAGAACATTTCTTAAAGCCTCCACTAGATACTTCTCCTATTATAACAACCTTAACTATTAATAAATACCATCTTATTCTGGGGGAAAAAAAACAGGTTTAACGTTTATTTCACATTCATCACTAATCATCACATTTACCAGGCATCCTAAAGGAGAAATCATTGTCAGCTGGGCTACTAAAATTATTAATCGGCTACTTTTGTATTACAAACTATAAATTTATAAGGATTAGCTCAAAAGAAAATGGATAAAATTTGACCAGACGTTCACTGTAGATTTTGTTGTTGTTTTTGAATTGTTTCTGTTAAAGAAGAAACCTCCCATCACTCAATTTTCAAGGTGTAACATCCAAAACATAATCAACATAATGTTCTATTCCTCAAGGAATAGAAGACAAACGAGCATGAATTGATGACCGAATTGGCAGTAGGCTCAGGTCCTGTCATCCATCCATCAACAGCAAGAACAGTGAGAACATTTTGAACTCATGACATCATAAATGGATGTGTTGGAATATTAAAGAAAGGGGAACAAATCTAAATGGCTAGAATATGCTTAGGACTGAAGGACCTGTGAACAAAGGTACCTTGGATTTTCAAATAAATGAAAATCTAGATGAATTGAGATGAATTTCAGTTCTTTGTGTCTAACTGAAGATGGTACAGTACATGAGAAAAGCATCTGGAACTTTCAAAGAACCTTGCTTGAAGCCAATAATTTAAGATTGGAGGAATATCAGATGTTGTCTGGGGATGCATGTGGTGTTTGACAATTAGTGCAAATGGATGATAATTTTGACTGTTGCCAGATACCATTTCAAACCGCTATGCTATCCCCAGTGGTGCCAGAATTATTGGTCCTAAATTTATCTTGCACTGATCCCAACCATTCAGCTGCCAAATTAAAACTTGTTTGCAAAAGAAGAAGCTGGAGGCCTTCAATATATGGAATGCCCCCTTCAAAGCTCAGATCTCATATTGCAACAGATACAATATATGGGACTATATAGATAAAGACTAAAAAAGCATCCACACAACTAAGATGGTATTTAGAAGAAGCATGAAACACCATTCAGTAAGAGTTTATTTTGTGCCCCTAGAAGAATCTGAATAATTCTTAAGGAAAGGGGTAGATAAATATACTATTTATGAGTTATTATTAAAATATATATGAATATATGAAATAGTCTTTGTCTTTTTCACAAAGATATATTTACACTTACAGATGTAGTTCTGTATATGTACATTGTTTATTTGTTGCAAATTGCTACAGACTTGCACAGCATTGTATATACAGTATATACATAAAGCCCGTTCTCCTAAGCATACAGTATATGTAGTCATTTATCATATTGAGTCATTAAGAGCCTTTACCTTCTATCTACAGGCAATAATGACAGTATTATGTGTAGATCTAAGCCTGTTTCATGATTTCTTTTAGATAAAATGCAGCTGTAGGGATTAACAGTCATAATCTATGTATTTTGTTCATTATGAATGAACAGCCATAGTATTTCAGAAGTACAGTAATTTGTGAATTCTCTAATGACAGTCAAAAGGTTATTTTTAGGATAAACAAAATAATATTTTCATACAGTGAAATGTACAGTAAGTGGTAGATATCTGATATCAAGAAATAACACATCAAAATTAAAACATGTATAACCACTCTCTTTAAGTGCTTTATAAAGCATTGTATCTGTCATTTTTGTTGAGTTCATAGTTTGCTTTAGGCTTATGTTTTTGTGTTTGCTTTGACACTCATAAACTTATTTATTATTAAAATCAACTTATTATTGATTTTCTCATAGCTTAACATGCTTTTTGAGACACGTTACAATGTTTTTGTCTTATACTAATATATGTGCCTCAAGATTTCTTTTACACTGAAATATTTACATGCAAATGTGTCTAATAAATGTTCTAAGAGTGATTTTCTCCAAAACAGTTTCCTGACTCTAAGCAGAGATAGCCTAGAATTCTATGGAGTTTTCCTCCATTTCATTTTCAATACTAATTTGCTAAATGACTACTCCTGTGAAACCAGTGACACCTACTGTATGAGATAATGACTTCTATCACTGTGTATTATGTTGTACCGCCAGTAATAATACTAATACAGTCACATTACTATCTTATTTACTGGTGTAGGAAAATAATTTAGAGGTTTAGAAATTAGAGGTATGATCGTGCAAAGGTTTCCTACAGATGTTCAACAAAGAACTGCAGATGCAAGTAGTATCACTGTGCACCGTTCAATGGGATGTGCACCTGGTGCGATTCCAGAGGGTTTCTGTCCTCTGCTTTCTCAAGCCAAAAAGTTACCCCAGAGCTGGGAGAAACATCTGCCTATGTTGCTTACAGGTACAAATTCAGACTAAGAAGATTGACCTGAGTCATGTGACATCAAAATGTGGATCTCTGGCCAACATCCGCCACAAGCCAGGTAATTATACTTTGTATTTATATACTATAAGACTTGAGAGCAGTGTGCAACATCGCCACCTTTTGGTCAGATCTGTTTTCTGTATACCATTTCAGATTCCTTTCTCTGTGCAATGTGACGTTTCTTTGTCTTCTTCCATTGTCATGGTATGTTTGCATTTCACATTGCACTTCCGCAGCAAGAACAGGTGGATTCATTGCATTTTTTTCATGCAGTACAAGAGTGCTGCCATTTATTATGGTTTGCAATCCTTCCTTTAAGACATACCGTGTGTGTCATCTTTGTTGAAATGACAATCATATTCATGCACGTTAAAATACGAATACCACCAGGATTTACTAAATGCATGTTTTACACCTGGCATTGAATAATCAGCTATCTCAGGACCTCTAAAAACATTCTTCGAAGAACTGGGCCAAGCACGAAGTGGAGGACTGGAAACAGAGGGCTGGAGGGCTGTATGCCACAGCCCTGTCAGTCCTTCAGCTCTTTCAGGGCACTAACTGTTTTGTTTCCTCTTTCAGGTGGTGGGAATGTGAAGATTGAGAGTGTGAAACTGGACTTTAAGGACAAGGCCCAGGCCAAGGTGGGCTCTCTTGAAAATGCCCATCATGTGCCCGGAGGGGGTCACGTACAGGTGAGTCTGTAACAGTGTCTCTACAGCACCCTTGTGCAGAATGGCTAATCCTAATCCTACGCTAACTGTATCAGGCGTGTGCAGTAAAGAACAATTTCAGGCCTGGATGTGACATGTACTACAGGTCTTTTTGAGTACACCCATCTGAGCAAACCTCCTCCTGCTGATCCATTGTGCCCTAAAATGGATTTTTAGACAAAACTTCCTTTCCCTGCTTATCAGTGTTGTAATTCAGCACTATGGCTATATCCTAATAAATGGGAGAGAGACTAGATATGCAAAGCATGTTTGGCGTAGCTCACCTGGCTGAGAGACTTTGGATGCCTCACCATAAGGATGAGGCTGCCCAGAGGATTGAGCCAGGGAGCTGCTGCAGGACTGTAGATGGGGTAGCAGGAGAGCTACAAGAGAGATGCACTACGGGAAGTCACAGAAGATACAGACAGGTACGGAAATGTTCAAGATAAAGATCTGCCCTTTATCTCAATCTACCCTTCCTCCTGATTTTGTACTGCTTAGTTATAATTCCATAAAGCCAGGAAAGAATTAGGGAAACTTCGCGTAGTTCAGGTCTGTTTTTATTTTCCATCTGAGGCGTTGTGAACTCCCCTCAAGCAGGAGGAGTCTTCAGCTCTGACCTCTCCAGCTCCCATTCGCTGCGTAGTGACATTTCTGCTCGTACCTCAGGGAGACTGTTAAAGGCTGCATCGGGTCGGGCTTTGATGGCTGAAACTCCCTTGGGGAAAACGCCTTGCGGTTGTGTGAGGCATCACATATACTTACTGCTCCTGTTCCCCCCCTCCTTAGATCGAGAGCCACAAGCTGCAGTTCCGGGAGGCGGCACGGGCCCGTGTGGACCACGGCGCGGAAATCGTGACCCAGTCTCCAGGGATGTCGGGCACCGCCTCCCCCCACCGCCTCAGCAACGTTTCCTCCTCCGGCAGCATCAACCTGCTGGAGTCGCCGCAGCTGGCCACACTGGCCGAGGATGTGACCGCCGCGCTGGCCAAGCAGGGCTTGTGAGCGCCCCCACCCACCCCACCACCACCACCACCTCTCCTTCTGCCCCCTCCGTCCGTCTGTCGAGCCATGGCACCCCTCTCGTCAGTCCCGCTGTCCCGCGTCACACGATTCCAAGCAGCAGCGAGTCCTCTGCGTCATCCCTTCTTCATGGCACGGCATGACATGACAGTGTCCCGGAGCCTGCTAACAAGGAGAGTGGTGCCCTGCGTCATCCCTCAGATTGAAAAACAAATTTCGAAGTTCGCCTCCTGAGACTGTAGTGACTGTGTTCTAGAAAAAAAAATCCCCAAAACAAAGTTGTTTTGTTCATATCAGAGGAGGTACATGTTTGGGTTTTCTTTCCTTTTTTTCGGTTTTCGGTTTTACTTTTTTATGATAGGTGCAAAGTGACGTTAACATTCCATGCAGCAAATGTTGTTCTGCTTTGTCTACGCATGGACGCCAGATACAAAAACTCATTTTATAGCTGCCCTCTGGCAGGTCACGCTAGTCCAGGCAACATTGCTATATATATATACTATATACGCGTACATACCAGGCTATGTCAGCAGCACCTCTGCAGTTAACTCAAAAAAAGAGATAACACTTCAAATAACTTATAAATTGCATTATTGCAAGAACTAGATTCCATTATGATGAGCATGTGTCAGTTCTAGTTGCAAAAAGAGGTTATTTTCTATTTAAAAATTTAGTAAGTTATTTACCAAATTAGAGGATAAATGAAGTACTTGTTTTGTAGATATTAGTGATTACATTACACTTGATAATGGTTCCGGGTGGTTGTCTTTTCGTCTGGCATTACCCAAGGATCAATATTTCAGCACTGTCACAGCAAGGTGGTAGAATAATTGTTTTACAGCAGAGCTGTATTACAAATCATGGGGCTCCTTTACAACTAGATGTTGTTCCTAGGAATTACCATTTTGATTTTCATGGACTGTTTGCTCTCCTGACTGTCCAAAGTCAGCAAATAGTGAGGCTGTGAAATACCAGATCTCCTTTCTGGGTGCATATCTCAGTCTCAGTACTGAAAGAAGTCAGATGTATCCCAGTAAGCTCAGTATTAGTCTATTATCATCAACAATTGAGTATAATTTCACACCACAACACATCATGAGAATGGTACAAGCATAAACTCAGTTGAAGGAACTTGAATGTGCTCCCTGCATTTAATTTCTGAAATGCAGTGAGAAATTTAAAACTGCACTTGAATCTCAAAGAAAAATGTGCGTGTACTTTGGAAAGGGACCTTTGATAGCTGAGAGCTTGCAGTCATTTGAGGAATTGTGTTGATTAATTATGGTATTATTTAAGACTATTACATTTAGGGAGCAGCTAATTTGAACAGTTAAATGTGTTCTGGACCTGTATCTGTTCAATTAACATTAGGGCACTAGGTTTTTGTGTATAAATATAAAACTAGACAAAAAAAGAAGGGAGAATCATACTCATCTTTCATCCATTTGATAAAGTGTTATAGTATAATTTTCTCTGTCACCATTTGTGGTATCCCTTACAAAAATACCTAATGTATGTTAAAGCTTTTCCTTGCAGTATTGTGTTTCCTGCACCCTGCCGTGTAAATGTTTTAAGAGGTTGTCATGTAGTTGTATGCAGTTTTTCCCTGTTTAAATAATAATAATAAAAAAAATTAAAAATGCTCTTAAACAAGAAAAAAGTAAAAAATAGCATGAAGTGCTTTTCTGTAACATCCAAAAGCAGTGACCCGAATTTTAGTGCCAGATGTTTATGTGATGCTAGCTTAACAAATCCATTGACAGTATTTGAAGGGGTACAGAGCAAAAGTCACGTGTGAGGTTCAGAGAGGGTCTCCAAACTTTAGGCATAGGCTTCCCAGGAGATTTGGATGACTCTGTTGCTGCAAGATAGTTGGAAACCATCCGATCATCATGCCACTGCTTTGCTGAAGTCGAACAACAGCAACACCCTGAGGATTAGGGTAGACTGATAGACCCGAATAGATTCTGTCATAAGCTGGTAGCATTTGGGATGCAGGGTCTTTAGGAAGACATTTCTACAGCGTATATCTTTCATTCACCTTCAGTTGTCCCATTTAAAGAAGAAAAACTGTTTCTTTGAAACACAAATGCAGCCTGAACACTGACCACATGGGAAGAGTTTGAAAGATAATTGTGATCTGTGATCCTGAAAGAAGATTGCCTCGTTATACGTAGGTTTTTGTGGAGAAAAGCAAATGGAGTTTGGGAAAGTAAGGTTTGAGAAACGGATGACTGTTCTAGATTTCAATATAAACTGAGTTATGTACTCAACATCTGTTCTGACTCATTCAATTTTTTTATGGCCACTCAAAACAGGATCACTGGGTGATGCAGGTATATTGAAGATATTTGTAACATGACTGTAGATTATATACAGTATTAAGTAAGGAGGAGTACACAGATTTCTACAGTCCATCCATTCTGTTCATTTCTGATAGACAATTCTGTAATATTGCATTTTTGTGCTGATCAGAAACAATTTGTTTGCATGGCCTGAAGATGTAAGGAGTCTTCAGTTTGCTGACGTTACAAGAAAATAACTGAGGATCTGAAAACAATTGAGCTGCGGTGCTGTTTTGGAACAGAATTGGTGTCATGGTACCAAGTAGTAGTAGTTTGTAGATTGAAGTCCCACAATTGTCCATGGGACGTATTTTCATGTTATGAAACTGAAATGTGCTAGTTTAAAGCGACTCATACAAAGAGTTTTCATTTTCTGTTACAAAAGGGATGAGATGATAAAGTGCTGTGCCCATTGCTTGTCGGGATAGGCTCCGGCACCCCTGCAATCCTGTATTGGATAAAGCCGATAGAAAATAAATGGATTATAAAATAACTTACTGTACTGTGTTGAACAGCAGTAAAAATCATTTAGTTTGTTTCCATGGGTTAATTTCAAACTATTCTCTTTGACAGAAATCAAGACAGAATTCTGAACACTAATGCAGTTCAGTCATTCTGCATTTTTGCTTAAAAATAAACTCTTTATGTATTTAAAGGATCCTTCAATGAGGCATCAAAATGGACATTTTTTTCACTATAACAACTGGAATTATTAATAAATTCTGAATTGCTGGGTACCTACATTTGATCGCTTGCTGTGATGTAGACTTTAGTGTATTAGGATTTTTTGTGTTCTGTAAAAAAGATTGCTGGATTTCTGACAGCACCCAGCCTAGCTACAGTTATCCTTTCCTGAACGTGCTCTTCTGCCAATTTGTCTGCCAAAATTACATGTAGGAAATTCACTCCACTTTCCATGTATGTTTCATGACAGATTCATAGCTTGGAAATTTTGTGAAATGCTTTTCTCCGATAGACATTCAGCATTAGCTGATCCATAGAGGGACTTTTCCCGTATAGCACAGTATAATAAAGTCGCTGTCCAGTATAATAGTACGGTCCCTGTACAGGGCTGGTATAATAAATAGTATTCTAAAGCTTGCCTTCATAAAATCCCACTTTGGAAAATTTGAAATATGGCTTTAGCCCCTTTTCTGTAGTATTGCCATAGTTTTGCTTTGGATTCTACAAGTTTGCGGACTGCTTTACTGCACTAGACCGTGGAAATGACTATCATGAGAACCCAAGATAAATGTCTCTAAGGCAGGATGCAGTACATCATGGTATTTTCATGGTCCAATGTAAACATGTTGAAGCAACAAGACTGTAGTACAACCACATCATGCAATGGTCTTATGGAAATATACTGTAGTAAGGTTATGTAAAGGGAATTAAAAACCACAAGAACTCAAAAAATGTTAAAGGGATCACACCTTAGTTCTATGTCATGCATTTGTGGTGGGAAGGATCTTCAAGTTCCAATTTTAAATGCCCAGCTCCTGCTTTTTCATTGACCAACAATCCCACGTCACCTGAATACCTGCCATACTGTATGTAAAACACCTGAGAGACACTGTATACAGCGTTTGTTGCAGTACAGTCATGCATCTTTTTTTCTTACTGGGTTCATTTTATGATCTGGATTTAAAATGGCTTTTAAACATTTGGTTACCCTTTTACATCCCTGGTACTAACAAGTTTGCTTAGGTGCTTATGGAAGGAAATGTGATTCCAAACCCAATTCCACCCTGCTTGCAGGTGGAAACAACATAAGCTGTACTTGGAACACTGGAGCACCTATGTGTGAAAGGGAGGGACCGTGACAAAGATGGTTTTGAGCATAAGACCGACGTGATGCCCTCTTTCCCGGAAAAAAAACAGCACATTTATATGGCAGGAAATTAGGTCCTGCTGTTACTAATATGGTTCTATAGGTTTCCCGCTGTGGAGAGAAGAAAGAAATTGACTTCAAAAAGAAAGATGGGCAGAAGAAAATATGAAAAAATGTCTCTGTAACAAAATGTAATGAATTACAGATTTTGAGTTCTGTGACTTGCACAGAGACTGAAGATTGAAATGAAAATGTAAGTGGTAAGAACAGGATTTGGGCTGTTGCTGGGGCGTTCTACTTCAGCAAAGCAGACAAGGCAGGCCCTGGAAGCCAGCATTCTCGGTTTGATGAAAATCCCTGTGGGCCTTCTCATTTTTGGTCCTACTGGTTAATGGTGCAGTGGGCAGTTTCTCATATGTCTTTGCGTCCTGTGTCCTTAAGCAGCAAAAGGTAAAAATCCATTGTACAGTCCAGCGTGGAATGAACACTAGGAAAGTGCTTCTGATACTCAGATAGCTTGCTTCAGCTGGTCAGTAGGCCCCTGTGAAGGGAACCTCACCCCACCCCCGCGGAGTGCACAAGGTCAGAATAGTCTTTTCAGAAGTCAGACAAGAAGAGCCCCTCTGTTTTCGGAGGTTTCAATGAAGGGACCGCAGGGAACTTTGTGATGGGCTGGTGGTAGCTAGTTCTTTTACAATCCAATTTGCACTTGTATTTGTTGCTGTATAGTGATTGTTTTGCAAAAATAAAATCGCTTCTCATGTACTGCTTATGCCTTGTCCGTCGTTTTCTTTCTAACCTGTTATTTCCTGGGAGCTGGGTGTGTGGTGGTGGTGGGGGGGTACCTGCCTTAATATTAATTACAGGGGGGGGGTGTTCTGCCTTCTTCCTGCAGTGACTGGACAGGAATAATTTCAGGTGGGTAATGTAACTCTTTATTAAACTTTCAAAAAAATGTTAAAGGGTGGAGTAACTGTCAAAAATACCTGAGCACTGTCCAATATATCGTCACTGAAATATACAATTTTCTTTCACTTAATTTCTGTTTTAGTCTTAGAATTCTATTCTGCTCGCTGGCAGTGAGGTACAGTAGCATTGAAGTTCAATGCGCCCCCATTTTAGCGCTGTTCAGAAACAAACCTGTTCGGTTCACTTTTTGGGGTTTGACCATTGCTTAAAATCCCCAAAACGACAGAGGGTGCTGCCCTGAATGATTAGAGCAGTGGTTCTCAAACTGTGGTACGCGTACCGTAGCGCCGCCAGCTGGTACGCCATATGACTCCGGAACTTTGATGTGTGCACTGAAGAAAAATCGGGACGGGGTTTCATATTTTCTTTTTAATACGTGTCGAATAGCCCACGTATGACGATACAGCGCTAATACCTGAGTGGACACAAGAGCTCCAATGTAATTCTATTCCATTCTATAGGAATGCGTGCTACAAACGGAAGTGACCAATTGTATTTAAAAAAACGTATCTCCAGCAAATAGGGAGGTAGAAAATATGCGTGATTTTGGAACAATGCCAATCCTGTAAGCACTGGAAAGCGTAGAAATGCGTACTACGAACGCTGGCAATCTTGTGAACATAGGAAAGCGTGATAGATAACAGAAAAATATTTAAGAACTGTTCTGTTCTTCATTTGGGAAAAATACACCGAGCGTCTCTGTGTTTCGCTCCCACGCGCATGAAATAAAAACTTCTTTTAACTTCTGAAACAGACTCCTGAAGCGGAAACGGGGAAAAGTGCAAGCTTGCGGATTGCTAGAGCAGGTAAGCCCCACGCTGTTTTTGAAGAACCTTATTTACTGTATTATATGTGTGTGAGAGTGTGTGGGCACGTGTGCTCATGTTGGTCATTGAGAATCTCCGAGGTTCCTAGGAGAAGATGACTTGTACAGTAGGTGGTACTTGGAGGCTTTAGTTTGGTCAGGCGTGGTACTTGGTCCAAAAAGTTTGAGAACCACCAGTTTAGAGGATGCCTCTACACATTCCGTCGTCTCCGGGTATTTAACCTCACGCTTTTCCCGCGACTGTGACTCGCTCTGGGTGCGGAACACCCGCCGCAACTCCTCTTTCCGAGATAGTGAAAATCGTTGTGCAGTTTTATTAGGTAATTATTTTGTATACATTTAAAATATCATTAATATCAATAAATACGTATAAAGATTCTAAATGGTTTCAAATAACCGTGACAATAGTTACAACTAAAATTGTGGAAATTGTCTATTTTTTTTTTTTAGTAACCGTACAGTCACTTTAATCCTGAATATACTGTATGTAACCTTTTTATAACAAACTGGATACTGTGACTTGTTTTCTAAAAAATGTGTTGCAGCCGTTTTTTTTGTGAAAGCTATAAATCGCCACAGAACCCTCCAGTTTAATGAACAGTAACTTGATCGTACACAGTATGTATGAGGTAAGCATAATAAACTGACATTGTTTTCCGACTTTTCTTTGTATTACATTCTTTTCAGTAAAGTGTAGCTAATTTATGCTAAACCAATCGGTTACACAGTTCTACGTCTGAGATGATAAAATACCAGTTAACCTGAATTAGTACACAGCTGGTCAGTGCAGAGTAATGCTATACTGATTGATGCAGTCAGCAAACATTTTTATTAGTGATTGAAGTAGTAGTATTTGTAGTAGCAGTAGTTGTTGTGTTATAAATATTAATAAGAAGGTGTACAACAACAAGTAGCACACTACCCAAGTCTTGCTGTGGACCAGGTGAAAAAAAAGAATCCAAATGAATCAAGCAGTCAATCTGTCTTTAGTGTGCTGTAGCGCTTTTGGCAACATTTTACCGCAGCGCACTTTACAGAATTAATTACTGTGGCAGTTAATTGCCATCCCCAGAGTGACGAGACTGGGGTGCATTCATTACCATCCACCTTGGACAATCTGTGCTCTCTTGGGTCTGTTGTTACAGGACAGAACATCACTCACACAAACTCACATAAACGTCACTTTGAATGGTCCTCGTTTCCCAAAATGTATTCATGGAAATTATGTTTTCACTAAATTACAAAATTATGATCTTTCGGTATTTTGTTAGGTCTAAATTTCAGTGTTGTTGTTTTTCTTTCCCTCAACAAGTATCCGTTGCCAACATTTATTATATATGCAAAGGAACAAGTAATAGGTTTATTCCATGCTGAAAAAAAGAAGAAAGAGAACACAACGTTTCGGCCGTGGAGCCTTCTTCAGGTGCCTTCTTCAGCCTTCTTCACACCTGAAGAAGGCTCCACGGCCGAAACGTTGTGTTCTCTTTCTTCTATTTTTCAGCATGGAATAAACCTATTACTTGTTCCTTTGCAGCCTACGCATGCTGACGCAGCTACCCACCTCATTTATTATATATTCTTATTATATAATTGCATTACTTTTGGATAACTCAGACCATACAGTACGTTAGTGCCTACAATATGCTCATTCATTCTTGAAGACACTGAAAATGCGCAACTGGGTTGTTGGCGACAACCGCGTGTGTGTGTTCCTTTAACATGCGGCTCCCAGCCGCTGTCCACAGAGGGTGGTGCTGAAACGGAAGAATCGCGTTCTCTCGGCACTTGCAGCCATTTTATAGAAAACCTACACAACAATGTCATGAAATAACATCACCTGGACCGACAAGGCGTCCATTTCGACCCCAGAATCAAACGCCACGCCATGGTGAAGAGGAAGAGCCTCGATGATGCCGATCAGGAATGTGGGAGAGGAATTCCTTTCCCTATACAGACCTTTCTCTGGAGACAGACCAGGTTAGAGATGGAACTGAATGATAACAGGTGTTCAGTTTACGTAACCACGGTTAGAATGCTTTCAGGAGGTCTTTTGCGATTGTAAGCGACTAAGCCAATTATATCTCGTAAATAAGAAACGTAATAAAATAAGAGCAATTATCATTATTACAATATGAAAAGCTATTGGATGGGAGCGATTAGAGAGATCGTGAAAATGCATGAGCGAATGAAGTCCATGTGCCTTTTTATTTTATTTAAAGCAATCAGTTTTGTCGCGCTTTTAATTAGCTGTGTTAAGTATGATCAGACAATTGTGTCCGTGTCTGCACCTTTATATGACCAACACGGGCGGTTTAAATAGTCAGTGAAGCTGGCCTGCTCTGGCAAACAGAATTTAATTAAAAATGACTGCATCTGACATTTCATCCTCACCGTGAGATTTTAATTTGTATTGTGCGTTGTATTGTGACACCTGAGGTGATCGTCGTCGAGCCGAGCAAAATTTAACGTCTTGGGATTTATCTATTCAGTGTGGTTATTGAAGGATATATGTAGATACATTTTCTCTGTTTATATTCTAATTAAAATATGTATACGAACAGCATTTTGGATATTGAAAACCTTTTTATATCATGGTTTATGGATAGCAAGCACTTATTTTCTATAATAATAAAATGATCATAATGATTTAAAAGTAACGTCTAATTTCTTGTACTTCTTACAGTGCGTTTCTGAGGCCAAAGTTAGGAAAGCAGTATGAAGCCTCCTGCGTGGTAGGTAATGGATTCAATGAAAATGTCGCTGATTAAAGAAGGAAATCGTCAGTTTCAGCCATGTGTATCTGAGAACGACCAATATTGAACTAATACATATCCGGGTTATCTGCAAAGTATGTGGACTGCAGTCTTTGTAATACAAGTGTCATTGTAATTTATCATTGTTTAACAATGCTGCCAGGAATCGTACTCGCATATTATTAGGTGTTTTTAAGTCTGCATATTTAGGTTTTAAGTCTGCTAAGTGTTAAGACAAGTGGCAAAAATGCATTGTTAGCAAAAACTAATATTTAATTTTTACTTGGATTGTTATATAGAACCTAATTTATGTACTGAAACTACTATATGCATAACCCTTTGTACTGTCGGATTATGTCCTCTTCTCTCTGTTCTATAAATGCAGATTGTAGATTGTGGTTCAAAGGTACTTCTAAAAATAACATGTAGGTGTGATTTGATTTATAATCCCCGGACAAGGTTTATAATCCCTGGAAGTGTATTTAGGCAGGGAACACAATCTTTATGTGTTTAATACAAAATAACTATGGCTTGCACTCCCTAAAATAATCTTACCCTTTTTCTCTTGTCTTGTGTGAGTCTAATAATAGAAATAATAATAATTCCTTATGCTTATATAGTGCTTTTCTGGAAATGCAGCTTCCAGACATTTTACATGTAATGGGACTTCCCTCCATCACCACCAATATGTAGCCCCACCTGGATGATGTAACAGCAGCCAGAGTGTGCCAGTACACTCCCCACACACTAGCTATCAATGGGGAAGAGAACAGAATGATAAAGCAAGTTCAGAGGTGGGGATTATCGGTAAGGGCCAGTAGGAAATTTGGGCAGGATGCTGGAGTTCCAGCACTTCTCTTTTCAAGAAACACCCTGGGATTTTTAATGACCACAGAGAGTCTAGACCTTGGCTTTATGTATCACTCAAAGGATGGTGCCTTTTTACAGTAAAGTGTCCCCATCACTATAGTGGGGCATTAGGACCCACACAGACTGCAGGGTGAGCGCCCCCTGCTGGCCCCACTAACACCTCTTCCAGCAACAACCTTAGTTGTTCCTAGGAGGTCTCCCATCCAGGTACTGACCAGGCTCACAGCTGCTGAGCTTTAGTGAGCTTTTGCAGGGTGAAATAGCTGCTGGCAGTCTGTAGAGGGTCAATCTACAGTATTTCTTTAATTTTGTACTACATTTGATTTTGCTCAACACTTATACTGTCTATTGTATAGTTTCAGGACTCTTGTTCCCCTCCATTTCCCTGCATCAGTGAAGCAGTTTGCTCTCTTTGCTGTTGCAGTCCTTCGAACGTGTGCTGGTGGAGAACAAGCTGCACGGTCTGTCTCCTGCTCTCTCAGAAGCCATCCAGAGCATCTCTCGGTGGGAACTAGTACAGGCTGCACTGCCCCATGTACTACACTGCACTGCCATCCTGCTCTCCAACAGAAATAAGCTAGGTAAATCAGGGCTCTACTCCTGAACACCCCATCTTTCAGTAAAACAGCAGCAATATATGAAAAGTAGGCAAATCCAATGTGCAGATGACCTCATCATTTATTTTTAATTGATCTAAGGCAGATATTTAAAAAAAACTAATGTGTTGTGTAGGATCAATTAAAACAGAAAGGCAAGACTTACTAAAATTCTAGAAAAATTAGTTGTTGTAAAATAATCTGTTTTTATTTACAACCATTAAACATTCAAAAACTAGGTTACTTGTCCACTGGTGATCAAGACAAATAATTTAACAAACTATAATTGGAGAAATAATCTAGTTAAGACAACTTGTTTTGTTTAGAAACACAATCTACCTGTTCTGCAAACTCTAGGTATCTTTAAATCAACATTTTCCAAAGACCAGAAAAGTACAGTACAAAAACCCCAGCAACAGATGTAAGCAGTTCAATAAATTAAATAACCGCAATAAGACGCAACAGAGATTCACAGAGCCCCCATTGACAAACTGATGTGTTTAATGTGTGCATGACAGGTCACCAGGACAAGCTGGGTGTGGCAGAAACCAAGCTGCTCCACACCCTGCACTGGATGCTGCTGGAGGCGGCACAGGAATGCAATCACGACACTGGGTATGGCATAGGTGGGGGCCAGGGTTCTGGCTGGTCTGGGAGTAGCAGTGTTTTCATCCACCAGTTGGAGAACCAGGGCTCCCCTGGCCGGCCGGCCCAGCACAGCAGCTCCCTGGAGGATGAGGAGCACACCAGGACCAAGTTCTTCCACAAGAGCATGGCCACTGTGGAGCTCTTTGTGTTCCTCTTTGCTCCACTTGTCAACAGGATCAAGGTCTGCTTTAATATTTCAAAGTTGATATTTATGTCAAAATAATAATAATATCATATTAATAGCATTGCAATAATAATAATAATATAACTTAAGAAACATTGCAGAGAGCAAAGTCATATTTGTCATTAATAATTCAAGTCCAGAAAACATGGGGTTCCCATTTATCATTCACACCCCTGTGTGTATTGTAAATCCTCCTTTGGATTTACATCCTGTAATTTGCCATGAGGTTTTGGCACGTCAGAGGGGAAATTTATGAATATTCCTCTAGAGCCTACAATCCTTCAGACCCATTGATTTCTGTTAGTGAACATCCATCTTGAACATGCATCTTGAACATCCATCGGTCTGGAGACTGATATGACCATTTCAGAACATTTTGTCTGCAGTGAACCATTCTTTTGTCAGTTTAGATTTGGAACAGTCTTGTGCTGGAATGTCCATTTTTGGCCAAGCTTGAACTTCTTTGCAGAAAGAATCAGGTGTCTTTCAGAAAAGTCCTGGTATGTATTCCAGTTAATAATTTCCCCTGTCATGACGGAGGAACCCTATCTACTGTAGGACCCCTAGATGCATAACTGTTCCAAAACATATTAGACTCACAATATTTCACAGTGTACATGAGACTTTTCTCAACATAAGCTCTATCTATCCACACATACCTGTAATGCTGATGAGCATATCCAAAAAGCTCAATTTTCATTTCATCTGACCATAAGACTTTTTTGAATTGACATTCAACCGGTACTTGTCGTGTTGGAGTTGTCTGTGTGTGTGGGTCACCCTCAGAAGAGCCTTCTGCCTTGCAGCCCAGGCACCAATGCCATATTGATGCAGGTGACTCAGAAGTTCGTTTTCAACACTTTCTATTTATGAATAGATCTGTATAGAGCCAATCTGTGTCTCCACCTGCTGCCTCCCAGATCACTTGTTTCACAGCAGTGGTGGTAAGATTCACTTGTGACCAACCCACCCGGAAGAGGATACTACTGTATACAAGTAGCCTTAAATCTCTCAATAACAGACACTACAGTAGAAAGCGGTAGATTCAGATTTTGTCAACTGTTTTATACAGTAGCCTCAACGTGTGGAGGCCAATGACATTCTTCCTGCAGTCTTCAAAGAGTGATGTGACCTTTACTACGGTGATGCATGCTAATACTGATTTTTTTTGCCTTCTTTGAATGTTTTACACCTTAGGAATCTCTAAGAGGCCCCTTTTTAGTTCTGGAGGCCATTGCACTTCCAAAGCGCAGATGTTGCTATAGATTTGTTTTTGCTGAATTTTATTGACAGAGATACTTAGGGGTACTGTACCTCTTATTGTCAATTAATTATTCAGCATGAGAGGGTGGTAGGTTCAGACAAGATGGAGATTCTTGTCTAAACTACACTCCCCAGAAAGGTGAGGCTTCCAGTGTTAGGTACCCCTTGTCTGAAATCCTCTAATATACAAATAGTTCCAGGGGGGTAGAGGGAAGCGTGGACTATGCATGGAAGATGGACTAAATTGTGAAACTTCTTACGGACACATGAGTTTTGAAATCCAAGACATAGTTTTAGTTTTAGAGTCAGTAAGCAGCTTAGCTGCCTGGTTGAGCTTATAGGGAGCGATCATGAAGCCGTCTAGTTAGAAGCTCAAAGAGGAGCTTAGGTTTTTGTATTTTGGAATTTATTTTACCTTGCATTGTAAATAAAAAAGCACGTTATCTTTGCCTTAAGGCTTCTGTGTGCCTGGTTTGCCTAGATGTACAGTACCAACATTCCTTCTTTTGACACCCCACTACAGGTTATGTTACATTTATGACTTTAAGATTTTGCTTTGCTCTTTGCAATGCTTTTATGATTACTGAATAACATTAGAATTTATTGAGAGCTTTTTCATCTGTAGCTCATTGAGATGTATAGGATTTCTTGTTCATATTTCATTGGAGGTTTGAATATATCCAGAAGGTGTTGTACATTATGACAGTTATGACATTTGATGATTCTTTACTGATTTCTAATGTATTAATTGGTATGTATTTATTAGTGGAAGCCTTTATCTAAGGTTACTTACCATTGGTATTATATAAAGATTTATAGATTTAGTTAACTGTTGAAAGTGCTCAAAGCAGATTATTGTGTTAATTTTTGGAAAATTAGTCCATCTACTGATCCTGCTGTTTTTCTGCAGGAGTCTGATCTCACCTTCCGGCTGGCCAGTGGCCTTGTGATCTGGCAGCCTATGTGGGAACACCGGCAGCCCGATGTTCCTGCGTTCTCTGCCCTCATCAAGCCTCTCAGAAACATTGTGACAGGTGAGGATCCTGTAATTCATTGCATTCATAAACCATTTTCCGTCCCAAAAGACCCAACAGCACTGAAGGGCAGCACCCAGAAGATGATGTGTCCACAGCCCCAGTTCTGAGCAGATCAGATAGAGGAGCAGGAAATTAAGGAGGAAATTTTTAAGGAGACCATCAGGGGTGCCAGATTGTTCAAGCTCAGACTGGAATTCTGGCAGCATTTCAGTGTTAACACCCTGTGAGAGGGCAGCAAGTTGAGACAAAATGGAAATTCTTGTCTGGACCCCATTCGCCCGAATGCTGTGTGGAATAAGCTGCTGCCCTGAGTCTCCTGACCCGTTGGTGCCAGTCAGTTGGTCATTCATCATATTTATAAAGCAGGAATTTAAATTTAAAAAGCAGGAAATGGAGGCTTCCAATTGTATCTATCCGAAGACTAAGGCAGATCTGCATAACAGCGAGGGAGGGAGACCAATCAAACTTCCTATTTTATGACACCCTGCACCAAGGTGTGTGTCACAGAACCTTGCACCTTAAAATTGCCATGGGATTCTTAATCTCCATTACAATGGTGTACCATACTATACCATTGTTCTTTGAAATACTGAGTGAAAGGAAAGAGTTCCAGCTACTAGTTAACCATCCTTCTACCCATCCTTGAAGGTCTCTCAATCCAGCACTGACCATATTTGCTTAGCTTCTGAGATGTGGTGAGACCACGATACGAGTTGGTCGTACACTTCTGTCATAAACTATGTATGATCCATAATGCACACAAGTTACTGACACAGACAAGAGTGGAAGCTCCGTCATACCAACTCAAATATTTGTGCTTTAACTTTTGCTGTGTTATTGACGTACAGTCTAATTCCTAACTTTCATGTTACGCTACAATATGCTACAATACAATGAGGATCACTGCCTGTGCATTTCCTTAAATCTGTTTGTTTTTTCTTTTAGCCAAAAGAAACTCTCCATCAAACAACCAGAGGAGCCCATGTGACTCTATCAACCCGGGCTCTGCGGTAGGTACTGTATTTCAACACAGAACATCAAAGACACCTCCTGAAAGATAGGTATTGATGATACGTTTGAGATTTCAGGCTGCTTCAAAGTCTTGCTGCCTCATCTGATTTTTGGAGAAAGGATGTGTCCTTTATTTTTTTATGTTTAAGGCTTTGTTAACATGTTTTACAGTTAGAGGCATACAAATATATGTAGTCATTATTCCACTACTTTTCATCCCAAAACCCCAAAACCCCTCTGATGTTTTTACACTGACTGGTTATTTCTGTGCTGATTTTGTAAAGGGCTTCCAGGTGGTTTGTGAAACCACCCAATCAGATTCATCATCTCCAGGAGCAGGAGTGCAAAGCTGTCGTCGTGGCAACTCCCTGGAAGTAGGTGGACCTTCCCAGGCCCCAAGGGACAAAGGAGTCACACAGAACAAGTATGGCTCTCCTCTCAGCTCCGGCCACAGCTTGCTATACCATCTCTGCTTTCCCCTTCCATCTGAAGAAACCAAATGATTATATGGCACATATTAAAATGAGCAACACTGACACATGGATAATACAAACATGTCATAGTACCGGGTGTAAACTGGTGATATAAACATATGTTTTGGTGCCTTGATCGTTTAGACAATGTATAGTTTGATGCAGAAGCTCGTGCCAAAATCTGTTATTTGTACAACAGGTATGGAAGTGCTGAGAGAAACATCTCCAATTACTCGGTTTTGATATGCTTCAAAATACTTTAATATGCAGTGTTTTGAATAGCATAATAAATGCTTATTATGCTATTTAGATACAAATTACACTACTCCCCAGTATATGTTCTAGTGCAAGTAATTTATAGGGATAGAGTTACTGGTGTTGGGTCAGACTCAGACCCTTGGATATAGAAGGATGGCAAGCTTCATTTGAGCTCAATAAAAGCTGTTCATGTTTGATGTCAATTGTTTTTGGTTGACTGCAGCAATTGAATTATGTTCATTTACCGTATGTCCTCACTAAGATTAATTTAATCTGGGTTTTCACAGATCTCTTGCCCCGGTCTGAACTCCTTCAGGGAGATGTGGATGCCAAAATTCATTTATTAATGATTTCTAAATATCCCAGTTAATCAAGTCAGATTTTTCCTCTCTCTTCTCTTCCTTTTAATAGTCAAAAACAAGCTGAGAAACTCTTATTATTAATAGGACGTGTTGTTGAAATGCTTTGTGTGTTCTGTAAACACTATTTTTAAGTGGAAAAAACAGTAAAGTCAATTAGTTTGCTCTAAAATTATATTTAGGGCTTGTGGTGTTCATTTGTAACTGATTAACACTGGAATAAACACCCCAAATAAAAAAACTTTTGCAAAAAGATAATAAAAACGTTTCTAGCCACTAGCCAGTGTCTAACCAGAGAAACACTACAAATAGGTAGTTTATACCAACTTCACTCCTTTCTCAGTACAGTGTTAAAGACAAATCTTTGACTTCCTTCATAACTTGCACTTGTGTAACGGTGTTTTGACTCTGTACATTATAAATCCAAGAGCTCTTGATCTCATTTAAAGCTCTCTTTGTTTTAAGTATTACACTCACATGAGAAGAATAGAATGCACGCTGTTGATTTTAAAACAGTAATTAATGAAGAAAATGCTTGGGCACACAAAAATGTCAGAAGACTGTCTGTGATCACAATTCACAGTGGAATACTACGTAAAGAAGGTAGTATAGTGCTTCAATACTAGTAAGTCACCATAAACATTGAGATGGTTTGGCAGGTCCCCCTTAACGTTTAGTATGATGTTGGAGGACCTATGCATATTAACCCCTATAGGTTAAGTCTTACTAACCTATTTACTTCAAAAGGATAATTAAACTGTGGGGAATGGCAAAGCTAGACTATAGCTGGACCATCCCTGGTGTAATAACCATTCTGCCTTTGCTGGCTGTGTTTCCCTGTTGTCCAAAACCTGTCACAGGAGAGTGAACTGTGCTTCTCTGTTCCTAAACCTTAACCCAGGGAGAGAGAAACATGCTTCCTCCCTCTTAACTGAGTGGGAGGCAAGTAGGACAGTGGGTCACTTCCTTCTCTGACAGCTACCTTACTGCTAGTGCTTCACTGGTCTAGCAGACAACCCACAAGACTGGTCTTCCCATGCCTAGCTTGAATTAGAAACTATATTGGAAGACAGAAGATGCTTCTCGATTTGCGAACAGGATGCCTTACACAGAAAAGCAATTGTTTCACCAAGGCCATAGTGATCCCCAAAACATTCAATTGAACTCTTTACATCTATTTTAACATGGCTAATAGGGACAAAGTCCTCATTACTTAGGACTACATACACATGTTTGGGGAGTGCCGTGTGTCTAAGTGCCTTTGGGTGCAAGTGACTAATCTGCTGAAGGATTTAGTTGCTGTGACTGCAATGATAATTCCTTATGTCCTCATTCTGAGGTCAAACTGCTGCCAAAAATCAACTTTGTGTGTGTAGGTGGAGACAGAGATATGCTTTCATTTCATTTGGTTGCATTCATTTAGAGATATTGGTCTTATGAATGAAAGCATGTGTAGATTCTATTTTATTAGACCTGAACCTGAAATTACATGTTCAGATGTTTTTTTCTCATCTTCTGAATGTTTAATGAGCTTTCATATTCCCAAAGGTCCTGTTTTTGTATGTATAATATTTTGTTTTTTTTAATATGATTTTTTTTTTAAAAGGATTTTACAGCGCATTAAAAGTAAAGCAATGAAAAACAGACATTAAGGCAGCTGTGAACAAGAATAAACACTGAAAGGCAACTGAAGACAACGCTATCTACAACAGTTTTCCTAAGAAACCTCTCGTTGTAATTGCATTATATTCTCACAAACAATAGTGGAGAACAGTTAAAATGTAGTAAAATAAATAATTGTGCTCACAAAGACCATGATCTGCGTGATTATGGTATTCAGGATTTACAGATGAAGTTGCTATGCGGTACAGCCTGATTAATGCTGTACACACTGCTTGGGAGAAGCTGTGCTCATCAGCGGCTGAGACAGGGGTGATGGCTGCTGGCACAGCCTGCTGCTGAGGCAGTTACCATGGAAACGATGGTGCAGAGAACTGATTAGGTAACCCTGCTTGGCCTGATGGAATTTGCATCTCCATTCCTTCCCTCAAATGTGACACTATGTTTGAGTTCTAAAACAGCCAAGTCACAGCACAGACTGAGCCACCAGACATTAAGCTCAAATATGAGCAATACTGTACATATTCTACTCAATATTTAAATAATTGCATGTGCAATACATAAATATTAAGACGGGTTATATACCTCATTTGAAATCTGTAGCATTTTACCGTGATGAACAGCATTGAGCCTGGGTCATGTCACTGCACATGTGGGACCAGGATTCACCAATTGGTGACGCACAGTTGGCTCACTGCTAGTGAGGGCAGGGAGGGTCAAGTCAGCCAGGGTTCTGGGCAAACAGAACAACCCTGTGACCCCTCCAGGCACCTGCATGTTTGCAGGGCTGTCAATGAGGGACATACAGTGCCTATCCTCCAGTCTGTTTCCTGTGATCTGTTCAAAGGAAAGCAGATCAGAGGAATCTGCCTGCACTTCCCTGATTCTTACTCTTAGTCCACTGGGTTCATTGCCATCAGCTGAGAGATGAAAAACAGAGAAATCGTGATTTCAAAATTGCGTAGGTATAATATGCAAATAAATAGTTGGCAATTCCAAGCAAATAAAAATTGTGAACTTTGATATAAGTCAGAGTTCAAAACTGAAACAGCCTTGGGAAAATTAAAAGAATTAAGCCTTGTTTTCTTCCCTCAACTTCATGTAAAAATGAAACAACTGGAGAAGAATTAGAGAAAACTAAATCTGTGAATAGTTCACCATGTTTGCTGAAGCACTTAAACACCCCCATGCAATGAGAAACGCAGACTGCTTTGTGTGTCTGCCTACTGTATAGAAATATACTAATCGGGAAACAAACTGTTCTTCAGAGCCACTTGCTTCACATAGCTGCACAATATGTCGCTTTTCCCTGAAGAAGGTGCTGTTGTTTCAGAGCCCCCGCAGCAGTGCCGGCAGCAGTCCCCCACGCCCAGCGTTCCCGCTACGGGACCTATTTCGACGTTGCCGTACTGCGCTGCCTGCTGCAGCCCCACTGGTCGGAGGAGGGGATCCACTGGGCCCTCATGTTCTACCTGCAGAGACTGAGGCAGATCCTGGAGGAGAAGCCCGAGCGCCCTCCTGATCCGCTGCCCCCCGTGCTGCCCCGGCCGCGCAGTAGCTCCATGGTGGCCGCAGCCCCTTCCCTGGTCAATACGCACAAGACGCAGGTACGGCATCGCGGGTCCTAGCCAGTGTGTTGATTGGTTTAATATGGAGGGTAAAGACCAGTGTCTTCCCACAGTGGTTTGAAATCAAGATCCACCTTAGATTTCCGGGGAAATTGCGTGTGTTTTTTCAATACACGATATCTAACTCCATAGAAAGGTCAAGTAGTCTTTCATGGACCATGACTGGAATGACTTGAGCTCCATCGAGAACAAAGGCGATTTAATTTAAGACAGTAATACTGGAGTACGTTCGCTGGATTATTACAGATTAATCAGAAGGTTTGCACTGTCTGAGTCATGGGAGTTTCCCCTGGTCTCCCTTTTCGAGAAGTGAGGACAGTCCATCAGATTACATCCGATGACAAGTCAAAACACAATTTGTAATGAGCAGGCAGTGTAATATCATACATTTTATTCACCTGATGAAGTACGACTAAGTGCTTTTTGGCTCCAGCATAAGTAGTCCGAAAGATTACAACCTACAAGGATGTGCACTGCTGAGAAAAGGTTTGTGAAACCCCCATATACAACCCTTGTTTAATCAAACTGGTCTTTGCTTCATCACCAAAAGGGTTTATACTGTATTTACCAGTTCAATGTTTATTTATATATGCAGTGGAATATACAGTAGAAAACCTGGATAATTATACTGAGAAGGTTAAATAATTGGGGAACAAATAAACAAGGAGTATTGGAAAAAATGGAAAATGTTCAAGACCATCGTGGCTCTGCCCCGGACTGGTCGTTTTATCAAGATCACCCCAACAGCAACTAGAAAATCATCCAGAAAACCACAAAGAACCCCAGAACAACACCTAAGTATTTGCTGGCCTCTCGCATTGTGGGTAATGTCAGTGTCCTTGCCTCGACCATCAGGAAAAGAATGGTTTTCATATGGGAAGATAACCAGGAAGAGACCTTAACTGCTTAAAAAGAACAATGCTGTCTGTCTTATGATTGACAAAGAGGTCCAGGGTAATCCACAAGACTACTGGAAGAATATTGTTTCTAGACAGATGGATCAAAAGATTAACTTTTTGGCCACAATGAGAAAAACTTTGTGTGGCGACAATCCAACACTGCCTTCTAACAGAAAAACCTCAGCATGACCATCAAGTGTGGTTTTTGCTTACATTACTTTCAGCTTTCATTGAGATTTGATGATACATTGTAGGTCTAAAATATAGAATTCAGACCAAAATTAAAGGTTCACAAGTTTTTACTCTTGCTGTTTGTCTTTCTTGCAAAGGACATGACATTGAAATGCAATGAGGAGGAGAAGTCCCTGAGCACAGAGACCTTTTCCAAAGTGTCCATGACCAACCTGAGGAGGCAGGCAGTGCCAGATCTGTCTACGGACCTGGGCATGAACATCTTCAAAAAGGTAGGAGGAATGGAGATTGAGAAACAGCTGAGGAGAGAGTGGGAAGTGCCTGTTAGAAGCTTTGGCTCAGATCAAATTCAAGTGGCATTGTGGTGTGAACGGGTAATGTGACTTAAATCAGAGAGAAAGCAATTTGTCTTTATTTGAAGAATTATTTTTGTTCCTTTTTGGGTTTTTGTTTTTCTGGTGTGGGGGACTGGGAGCACTGTAAATAAACTGCACTTATTTTACTTGAGTGCTTTGTGGTGGAGCCATTCTTTTATAAAACGGACCTACTTTGGCCTTCCTCAGGCCAGTGTGTGACAGATAGGATCCGGCTCCCAACCCTGAATCAGGAGAGGTGGTTAGAGAATGGGTGGAGGGATGATATAGTATGCATATACAGTAAAATGGGATAAGAGTGCCAAGCTGTACAAGAGTCAAGCAGGTTTGAGGGAGACCCTGTGCCACCTGTACTGACAGTTCAAGAGCCGGAGGGAGGACCGCGAGAGGAAGGGCTCCATACCGTTCCACCATGTGGGCAAGAGAAGGCAGCGCAGGATGGGCGTGCCGTTCCTCCTGCACGAGGACCACCTGGATGTCTCGCCCACCCGCAGCACCTTCTCCTTCGGCAGCTTCTCCGGGATCGGCGAGGAGCGGCGCGGGCTGGACCGGAGTGGCTGGCAGACCACCATTCTCGGTGAGAGCACCGCCGTGGGCCTGAGGAGCCTGCGGCAGGAGAGTACAGGTAGAGCTCTTGACAAGGACAGTAGATGGTCTTTCCCCTCTGAGCTCTGCTAGAAGTAACACACTGGCCCAGGAGTTAGCTTTGGAGGCCCCCACTTGTGACCACCCATCCTAGCTTCGAAAGAGAAGGTGTTGGGGCACCTAAGCCAGATGAATTATAGGACCCAATGTGGTGACTATTAGAGCTCAATGAAAGCAAGGGGAGTTTGAAGGAAAATCTGAGTGTACTTATCCGAATCGCAGTTCAAGAATCGTGGTCATAGACAGGTTCGCTATTCAGGAAACCAAAAGTTTAGAAGCCAAGTAATAAGCGAGGAAACCTCAAAACCAAGAGGAGGAGCTCCACTTGGTGAAAACCAATACTGAGCGTTGAGGTGAAGGTGGTCAGAGCCTATGTATTCTGGGAGGTAGCAGGTGTGGTGATGAAGGAAAGGTCTGATTGGTTGATTAGTTAATGCGTCGCCGTTTGCGGGAGTTGGATAAGACTAGAGTCTGATTAGGAACAATGCAGGGTAATTTGCTGGAGTTGTGTAGGGTTGGATTCTGATTGTGAACGGTCGTGACAGAAGGTTCCCTTTCCAACACATATTATGTACCAGATGGGTTCAGGTGGAGAGCTGTGTCAGCATGCACTGCTTGCAAAGGAACAGCTAAAGGTTAATTCTGTGCTGGAAAATAGACAGAAGAAATACAATGTTTTTGGCTGTTGAGCCTTCTTTAAGGGAGAGAGAGGAAGGAAGACAGGAGAACAAGCAGAGCAGGTGTAGGAAGGTGGGAAAAGCTTGTATTGGGAAAGAAATATTTTTAAATAAATGTTAAAGTTGGGCTCTCAAGTGCTGTACAATATTGTATTATTTAATATACAGAAATAACTTTATCTAATAAGTAAAGTTAATACTGTAGATCATATTTTATAGACATTATATAATAAGGTATAAAGCAATGTTACAAGTAATCATAATTTTCCCCGCTGAAATATATATTGTTTTATTATTTTACTAAAATTGTTTGCACAAATATTGTGTTTTGTGGATAAATCCAGATGAAGCGTAGCTGCAAGCCTCTAAAAAACCCAAGCAAGCAAATTCCTATTGACAGTTTTAAAATGTTAAGAGATTTTTCCTTTCCCTGCTGGGAACTGTTGCCTCTGTAAATTCTGTGGGACATGGACTGCTGGGAACAGGTAGGAGGATTTTAATTCTATTGTTAAACCACTCATTTTCTTTTATGCATCAGCCCACAGAGAAATGTTGCATGCAGACCATTTGAAAGTGTCCAAACTGTTTCCCATCTTCTACAGTATTTATAGTTCCCTGCAGTTCCCTGCACGTCACACTCTACAGTCGTTTGCAGGTGTTTGCCAATCTTTTTGATGAATTTCCTTTGCTGCTTCTACAGTTTCTGGTAGTCATTTTATTTTCACTTGAAATCTAGAGTAGTTTACTAGCTACTGTATACCAGACTATAGATAATGAAAATCAAGAAAAGTGTAGGCTTAACACAAATCCCTGAGATAGCGCACTAACCTTTTCTGTGCTAATATTTACCGTGGAACTTTGTTCTATAGCCTGAAGTATGTTAGCAGATCTTGGGAAAACTCCTGAATGAATGAAATATTAATTTATCAACCATTTCCCCTTCATTGTCTAGTACTTTCCAATTATCATCACTGAGATACTTAGTCCTTTACTGTACATGTCATTATTCTGAAAAAAAAACATTTTTATTTTCACTTCTGTTCCATTCATTCTATTCTGTTCCTCCTATCCTTTCTAATGTATTTTTTATCAATGATTTCGGTTCAGTATACTCCTCTAATTTCACTGGATCCTTCTTTTTTAATCACTTCATGAGGCACTGATGTTTTATATATTTGTAATTGAGTTATTAAATCATTTGGCATACCTCTTTCTCAGGTTTGGCTTTCTTTCTCATGGAACTAGTTTGTTTAGTTCAGCTAAGTTCTCTTTAAATAGAATTAAATCCAGCCATTCTCTTCTGATTCTTTTGCTTATCTTATTCAGACATCCTTTTCATAATTTCTGTCTTGCTCCTCCATAGTCTTCTTTCCTGAAATGATAAGCCTTTTGGGGTGTCTACCTGACAGTTTCAAAATATATTTAAAAGCATATACCACATTATGTCACGTAATACTTCTATCACCACTGTTTTCCTTTAGAAAAGCCAATTCTGGCATTCCCTTTAGAAAAGATGATTTTGTTTATGCATGCTTTCCATAAATGAGTCTGTTTCCTTTCTATTTGAGCTGAGTAACACAATAAAAAGAAGACCTTGTAGCTCTCCAGGACCATGTCCCCATGCTATGCTGCAAAACCCTGTTTTACTGTACTGGCATTTTCTAATTAAGGAGCATGAAGGCTGTCCGTGCATGTTTATGTTAAAGAAGACAGGTTTCTGTGTCATTGACTGAGGAGATCAAGATGTCAGAATGTATTCTACATGCCCAGGAAAATTCACTCGGAGGGGCAGCACAGACACCACCGCCGACGTAGACAGCCTGAGTGCCAAACACTCCCATTCCCACCACACCCTGCTCAGCGACATCCCGGATCACTCCAACAGCCACAGCGACAACACCGTAAAGGAAGGTAAGCTCAGCTGTCAGGGGCCTCTGGATCTCCAATATGAGGGGTACGAGTGTGGGTCAAGAGGGGATGGAGGGGAGCTTTCAGGGTTTTCCCTCTCATAGGTGAACCATTTCATGGTTCATTTAAGAGATTTCCAACTGATTGCAAAGCTTCTCTTCCTTCATCACTCACGTTAGCTTCACAAATGACTTGGAGGTGTTCTATGGATAGGAACAACAGCTACCTGGAGCTCTAACCCCCTTTCCCCTCATCTTCTCAGTGCGGTCCCAGATCTCCACCATCACCGTAGCCACTTTCAACACTACGGTGGCCTCCTTCAACGTGGGCTATGCGGACTTCTTCACGGAGCACATGAAGAAATTGTGTAACCCGTTACCCATTCCTGAGATGCCCAGCGAACCCCTGGCCTGTGCCAACTTGCCCCGCAGCTTGACCGATTCTTGTATCAACTACAGCTGCCTGGAGGACAGTGACAACATTGAGGGAACCAACAACTTCATCCTCAAGAATGGCATGCTGGACCTCACTGTATGCACTCAGCTGATTATTAAATATTGTTTGTTATTATTCATAATTCTGCATACTGAATATAAGTATTCCAGTGGAAGCAACAATGTTATCAACTACAGTAGTACTGCAACAGATTATCATTCGTGATCTTCAGTGTTGTTAAAACATGTTATGTTGTTTTAATACTGTGACCAACTGTTTTTTTCTTTCCTACAATTGACCATATCTAAATTCAAATATATTATATACATTTTCACAACTATGCATGAACAAAAAGAAAAAGCAAGTCTACAGAATCATGATTCAAAATATGTATTTTTTAATTAAGTGGAATGAATATCACTTAATTATCAAAAATACGTTCTGGATTAAATTGAATGACTTTTGGCATGCTCAAGTGACTCTTTATCTGTAAATTTACAAGGACGATTTTGCCAGTGAGTTTGTTTTAATGAAATTGCATCTCCGAACGTGTCATCGTCCCTCACCTGCAGGCAATCCTGAGGGCTGTGTATGTGGTCCTGACTCATGACATCAGCTCCAGGATCTGCGACGTGGCCCTCAACCTGATTGAGTGTCTGCTGCAGCTGGGCGTGGTGCCCTGCATGGGAAAGAAGCTCTCCAAGACTGAGGACAAGGAGAATGGGGAGGCGCGGAAGGAAGGAGGCAATCACAGGGCAGGAGGAGCACAGGGGGGCGTGTCTGGAAGCATGGGACCTGCTGCAGGGGGCGGAGCTGGGGGCGGGGGAGGGGGCGGAGATGGCGGAGGGGGAGGAGACGACATCAAGAACAACAAACAGCCGGGTGCTAAGGTGCGTCATCCTTTTGTTTTTTATTGTTAATAAAAAGCTTATTAAAATGATATATTTGATGTTTATGCAGCATGGAGGGAAATGAACTGTACAGATACTTGACAACGTGCACTGTTATAAAAAAGATAAGACACTGCTTTCCCATTAGGGAGTGTGAAAGCTGAGATGGGCCAAACAGGCTTCTCTGATTTTTATATATTTTACTATGTGTTCGGCGAGATCTCAGCCCCGCCTGCAAGTTGCAACTTGTACAACATGTTAGCTCATTCTCAGCTAAGGTCCTAACATGCCTGTGTCTACTCAGGATGACGGCACCCCTCAGAGCACGCACAAGCTGGCACTCACCATGCTTATTAAGATCGTCAAGTCTCTAGGCTGTGCCTATGGGTGTGGAGAGGGGCACCGCGGCCTCTCTGGTGATCGCCTACGAATGCAGGTAACAGAATATTTTTGCTGTTTTGCTCTCTGGACCAGTTTCAAAGGGTTGAAATCTACAGCAGTTTTTGATACTTCTTCCTTACCTTTGACATCCATAATCTCATATGCCAAATTCTGGTAGCTGGAGAACAGGAAAAAGAGCATGCTTTGTATGCAATCCAGTGTGTTACAGGCTTATAAGAAAACAACAAAAATAACATGAAGTTATAATGAACATGATCTTTGATGAGATGGACTGTTTCATTTGCTGTAAATTGTTTTCCAGGCTCAGAACTGTCTCACCAGTCTCTACAAGTTGGACAAGCTGCAGTTCCGGCAGACAATGAGAGAATATGTGAACAAGGACTCTCTCAATAACATAGTGGACTTCCTGCATGCCCTACTGGGCTTCTGCATGGAGCCCATTACCGACAGTAAGAACACAGCTTGTATGTGCGATCTCACTGAGCATGCCTACTGCATGGCTGGGTTAGAACCAGTGTGAACAACACTGTCCACCTACCCTGGCCTGTGGCGGTTCTGCCAGTTTCTTACTCTTTATATATGTCTGTCATCCCAAAAGACTCCTTTTGGAATGTAAAAAAATGGGTGATCATGTTGGTTTTATATTTCCTTCCAAAAAGACTAAAGGCCATATTCACATGCATTACCACCACCCTAAATCTAGCCAGCAATTATAGAATCTAAAAGTATTTTTCGCTACGCACAGGGACTTTTAAATTAACACCCTGAAAAATCTGCAACAATTGACAACTTCAGGCATGGTGGTAACTGTGTTCAGAACATGGTTCTAAGTCTTTATTTCATTGTATTATACTTTTACACATCTACAAGTGCCAATACTAGCCTTTTGTGCTGTATTGGTGTGGTATCACAGTATGGCAGTAGACCTGTGCTATCAGTAGTTTCCCTGAGCTGTAACTGCTGCTCTGTTAACACTGCTCAAAATATGTACATGGAATTATACATTTTACTGGGAGAAAGTGGCACTCATTTTGTCTTCATTCAACCTTTATACTATGCTGACATGCAAATAATTCTTGGGACATTGTGCCTTAAAAAAGGCAGCTATTCCTCCAGATAGCTTATTTGAGGAAGTTGCTATGCTTTGTACACCACAAAATTAGAAATAAGCATGGATGGAGCATTTTACAATGCTCACTGTTTTTCTCAGTTCCAGAACTCATTTATTGAAATAATGTATGCATTTACATTATTCTAAATAAATGGTCTGGAGAATGTGGGAATGTATCTTTCATTACAATATGCATGGATTCTTATTTGCATGCCACTACACAAAAACTAAGTACTGCAATTAATGATTTGTTCATTTTTTGGGACAGAAAAATGATTTTTTTAATAAATAGCCATGATAAATAGACTGATTCTGATTCAGTTACTACAAAAAATATTTTTATCGTGAGATGAGTGATCTATTATTCATCTCTAGTATGGCAATTTCGGAATAATATAAATCTTAAATTGGGCCTTTTTCTAGAGCAACTGTATTCTTTTTTTATTCGCTTCATACATTCTTTGTACATTTTCTGATCAGTTTTAAAAAATGAAGATTACATTATGCAATTTACCAGTAAGTGGTCAAATTGCCTACCTGAACAAATATATCCACTCTCTTATTCTCCTGAGTGTAATATTCATTCAACCCATTAATGACTTAACCTTTTGAGATAAGGTACCTGGATGTACAGTATTCCTGTGCTGGAACACTTTAGCAAATTTTGGGGACTCATTTGCTAAATAAAAGTAGTGTGTGGACAGGATAAGCTACTAAAGGCATCCAAAAGTAGAGCTGACTGTTTTTTATAAAGTGTTTGTAAATGTCACACTTCCCGATGTAATAATCAAATATATTAAACCCTTTCTAGGTGAATATTAAGCTTCCCCCTTGACTTTACATTGCAAGGGAGCTCTTGTGCCATATGTACAATATTTAACAGAAGCAAACAATACGAATAACAACAGTGTTATTCCAGATTCAGTCTGGGCTCTTGAGTTATTATTTTTCCATCAACAAATCACTTGAATGAATGGGACCAAAAAACGACTGCACTGATCAGCCTAAGAGCTTCTGATGAAATCACATTGAATTTAGATATTAATCTCCCACGATAAGTTGGTTGTGTGCAAAACGAAGCCAATGTTTGTTTGTTTGTTTGTTTGTTTGTTTGTTTTTCTGCTCACTGGCAAGCAGAAAACGAATTGAATGAAACGTGGAGAATAATTTCAGTTTGGATGAATTATTTTTTAATGACGACTCTCCGGAGACGTAGCAAACTGGATTTCCCATTTGCCATCTGCTTATTTATGTGAAAAGCACAGCCAGCTTACCCCCGGAGAGTAGCACTTGTGTCTGTGAGTGGGGGGTGTGACCTTTCTAAGAAAGTACATGTCTGTGCAGGCCTGACATCAATTTTGCACGCATTTCTTTTCTTGCAGAATACGGAAGTGCAGGTGAGAGGTCCAGGAGAGCGAAAAAAAGAAACTTCGGTAGATACATAATCTAAATTTCTGCCAGCCAAACTAACTTATGTCACATCGCGCAGTATAAAGACAGTGTTTCTGCCTGCACGCCTCAAAGTGATATTCCGATTTGGAATACTGTGTCCCAACATCTGTGTCAGATGTCCAGCCTCCTCCCATTCTCTTAATTTCTATTTGAACTATTTGACCTCAAGGTTCAATATTATATCAGGCCGTAGTCACTTGCATGTATAAATAGATGAATTGCTGCTGTGCTTTACATCTGTGGTGTTTTTTATTAAATTGACATTCTTTATATTGATTGTGGTGGCGTATTTTATTTCATGGAAGCTCTGTCGCTGTTTGTTTGTTCATGTGGACGCAACGCATTACCTTCAGCACTGCTCAAATTGTTCATTTTCTTTTGTTTTTATTTTATTTCTCTGCGTTTTCAGACAAGGCAGGTTTTGGGAATAACTTTGCCACGGGCGACAGTAAGTCTGTGGCCCAGAGTATGGAGGCTGTGGTGGTGGGCTGTATGTTCAAGTCTCTGATCACGCGCTGTGCCTCCACTACTCATGAGCTGCACAGCCCAGAGAACCTGGTAAGAACTACTTTCATTCAGACAAAGAGAAAAACCTCAATGTTATTACAATTTGTGGTAAATAGGAACAACTCATTTCGAGTTTCTACTTGCCTACACTGTAGGTGCCTTGCACCTAAATATATTTCCCTATAAATGTCTCTTGTGCCTTAAATCAAATAAGACAGCAGTGAGATAGAAATCAAACATCCTCATCTCTCTGCATGAAAAGGTACATTGTTTTGTCATTTGAAAGCAATTCAAATATAATATTTAGCAACCTTTCGTTTTATTGGAATGATCATGTTTGAATTTCTGTTGATTGATCAGTTTAGAATTGTTTAGGTGCCCAGTTATTATTTACTAACAAAAGACAGTGATATTGTAATTACACTGTAAATACATCCCTGTCACACAGTGATATTAAAATCATAATTTTTCTTGAAGGAAAGTACAGGAAATAATTATTCTGTTCTTATCAAGTATTGTATCTGCTATGTAATTGGATCGTTAACTATTATTAAAATAACTGACCTAGTATAACAGTGTTAATCACAGCTGTAAAAAGATTACAGATATAAGCCTACAGATTCATTCTCTTTTTCAAGTTTTTACACTAAATATTTAACCTCCAAGAAGGCTCCAATTTGATTTTGCCTCATTCAAATAGATTTTCGAGTGCAGAGCTGCATTATTGTTATGGAAAATGAGTAAGTAGTAGAATTTCAGCATGGAAGTATCATTTATAGACAGACTGATAAGAGGAACCTGCTCAGTCAGTGGGTTTTGCTGCATTAAGAGCTGTGCAGAATACTGAGTGCTTGGTGGGCAGGGACAGAGAGTGCAGGAAGAGAATGAGAGGAGAGAGGAACAGAGCCACGAGCTTCACGCAGGAAGAATGGTCTTGGTGAGGAGGCTGAGTCTCTAGAGTTTACTGCATATATTCCACACTTGGTCAGAAGCTGTCAAGGATGTCGGAAAGGACGAACCGTGGAATGACAGGAGAGCGAAAAGACACTATACGTAGCGGCGAGACGGGGGTTAGCCCGGGCTCAGCTGTTCAGGAAATGCCGTACAGAAACCTATGCCCTCAGGTAGCAGACGTGGAGCGACCTGGTGCTAGACGGGTTTCAGGACATGCCAACGTCAATGCTAAGCGAGTAGCAGAGCAGAAGCAGAAAATAAATACGCTACACAACAAGACACACCAGAAAGACAAGAATAATCACAGGGAACTAGGAACAGGAGGAAAGTAGAGCGCCCCCTAGGTGAACTGGGCATGACAGAAGCAGAAACTCAATCCATCCATTCAGCATCATGTGATAAATGGTGTGAGCAGCAGTTCACAAAATGTAGGCTTGTCATACAATAAGGACACCTAATGGAATGTATTGTGGCATTTTGTTATTGTACGTTTGCATTATCATCATACACTACTCAAGGCAGTGTCAAAGAGGTGTCTGTGATTTCATGAGTTATTCTTTTGGTATCTACAATATAGCCATTTTTAAGTGGCAATGATAAAATGTTATGTTATTTTACAAAACATACAGCATGTAATAAATAATAAAGGAAAACTATTTTAACTTGTTGTACTATTGATCAGCTCTTGGATTTTGTGCTGGTGGAAATCCATTCTATAGACTCACAGCTTCAGGTTCACATCAGTTAATTAAGCACATTCCTATACTATATAGTGTACAACCACAGCTGCTGCAGCTTTGAGCATTCCACAAGCTTCCATTCTAGTGTATGCATATAAAGAGCCTCCAAGTTTATTATAATTCCTACTGAAATAGAAACAAAAAACATCTGGCTTAAAAGAATCTAAAAATGTTATACTGCAATTGGAACAGCATGGCACAGAACAAAGATAAATAACTGAATTACAGGAAACGACCAGGACTGGCTCTAGTTTTTTGGGGACCCTAGGCAAGATGTTGGAAAGGGGCCCCTGCAGATCAATATTTGCTCATACACTACTATTCTCAGCTCCCACCCCAAACCGATTTTACTATTCAGAACAATTAAACAAATGAATTACATAACTAGACATTTTCTTTATTAACCATTGCAACAAAGTTTGCGTCACAAGTAAAAGGTTGGTTGTAATATTTAATTTCTTCTGTGTATTATATACAATACTTTATTCCTCCCACTGTCCTTGGGTTTATAAATGTCTAACAGTTTTATTTTGGGGCCCAGGTGAACTTTAGGAAGCTAGGGTTAGGGTTCTCACAGTACGTACACATTTTTTATCCTCATTGCTTTTTTTTGTTTTGGGACCGAAATGAACTTTAGGAAGAGTGATACCTTTCTCCCATCTTCACTGATTTTTTTTCTGATAGATTTGGCAGCTTAAATTACTGTGCAAGTCCTATAAAAAGGAGTCCTATAAAACGTTTAGAAAACCCATTCCACTGGGTAAACTCTCTCAATTTTCCCATTTCAACTGTAATCAGAAGGAGAATGGAATGGATGGTTCTTGCAATCCTAAGCCTAGACTGGCCTTAAATGTATGCTCATTTAAATACTGTGTTAACAGCATTTTTCAACTGATTGAAAATTTGCCTATAAAAGATGCAGTGTTGAAGAAGACAAATTTACAAGAGAGTTTATGAATGGATTTGACCGTTTTAGGCCCATATTCTTTTAATTGAGAGTTGAAGTAGATAAATTTACAAGAGAGAGAACATTGTAGGATAATATCTTACATTTATTTGAGAAAGACCCATTATCCAATCAAGAAATCTTTCTATCCCGTGTTTTTAATATCCTATTAAATCAGCAGTATGTATAAATCTGGAGTGCACATGAATCTTGTGTGGACTGGTGCAGCACCCGTTGGTCAATTTTTCATCGTTTCCTTTTACATTTTGTGATTCCATATCAATTTAATTGGGTTCATTTTAGACATGATTTGGCAAAGGTACGTACCCCATGATGCTGACCCCTCTCTCTCCTGTCCACAGGGCTTGTATTGTGATATCCGCCAGCTGGTACAATTCATCAAGGAGTCCCATGGTAACGTCTTCCGCCGGGTGGCCCTGAGTGCACTCCTGGACAGTGCCGAGAAACTTACACCTGGGAAGAAACCTGAGGAAAAGGAGGAGCAGAAACCTCCAGGGCCCAGGAGGTAAGGGTAGGAGGATTGGGAGACACTAGGAAACTTGCTGGGCAATGAGGCCAAAGGCTGTTTAGGAAAACATGTACTGTCGGGCAGGTTGTAACTTAGCAACCTTGTGGCATTTTAAACACTTCTTTTCATTAAACAGCCCCAGCAGTTTGATTTGCCTCAACAGGACAGAAAATGGCTCATGTCTGCTTTTCAGACCATTGCCTGTTTTGCTTCAGGTCAGAAGCTGGGAATGCGCCGGAGAGAGGCCAGCCAACCACAGCAGCTGATGAATGTCGAAGCTACATATCCAGCCGTCCACCTCAGACCCCCGAGCAGTGAGCTCTTCTTCTTCTTCTTCTTCTTCTTCACAGCCTTAGTCCCAGACTGTCCTGGGGTCAGCTGCTTTGGTTGCTCTTCTCCACTTGTCTCTGTC